TATGTGCATGAATAATTGATATTAGACAAGTAAAATAAATGTCTTGCCTGGTCGGTGTTGAGGAGGGGAAAGTAGATCAAGGGTACTTAAGGCATTTTTAAATTATCAATCATATCTACAGAGATGGCTAATGTTTTTTTTAGATTTCCCATTGTGATTATAGCTTTGCAATGGGTCATTTGGGATATGCAAATTAGTGAACTTGTTTATGTTTTTTAAAAAAAACTGCTAGTTATGGCGATCCATTCTGGTTGTTGGGAAGTTATTTCTAAATGTTGCTTTTCTCTATAATTTACTGATCATTTTAATTTTCAGAATAGTCCTACAATTTAGTTTTGATGATAGCATCTGCAAAGGTTGTTTGGTTGGCCATTGTTTCCTTTTAAACCAGCAAGGAGCAATATTAGTTAAAGTGTGTACACTCTGTTTAAAGCTAAATAGAGTTTTAAGCTAATAAAAGGTTCAATATAGTATTCATTAAGTTCTCCTCACTGTACAAAACGTTAAACAAACTTTAAACATTTATAATGCTATTTTATTTTTGGACATTTTAATGGATGTTTGTTTTATCTCCGCTTCAAGTTATACACCTGGTGAGAGAACAGGCAAAAACTAGAGTGCGAGGTATGAGGAGAGGACAATCTAGAACATAATAATCCTTGCATTTGATATAGTGCCTTATCACGTCTTCAAGACGTCTCAAAGCACTTCTGCTTTTGCAGTTCACCAACATTAGCCTGTAAGTGACTGCAAGATGTTGTGCAAGAGCAGCATCGGGCACCTCATCTGACAGCACAGCTTTGATCAGGAATTCACCATCTGGAGCATCACAGCAGTCGACGTGAATCCTACAACTTTGTTGTTCTATCACTGGGTTTTTATTTTCAGAATTTAAGGATGTCTTAAAATATTTCCAGCAATTTTGAGTTTCATCCCCCTAGCTCTGTAAATCTGTTTTTTTTTTAAAAAAATCAACTTTACATTCCCGGTCCCTGGCGAGTTGCTGAGCCAAGTAAACCAAGGTTTGTCCCAATCCTGACATCTGGAAAATCAGGGTTCTCTGGTTGGTACAAGATTTCTGTTTGAGTGGAAACAGTTTAAAACAGCATCACTAGTGGTCTGGCTGAAGATCGCCCACTCGATCTGCTGTGCACAGAATTACTACTTCATCTGGCGAGACATGGGGAAGGGAAACTTACTTGAAATAATACTTTAGTTTTTTTTAAAAAACAGTTCACAAATAAAGCAAGGCAGGTAAAACAAACTAACATTTGCTAATTAACCTTAAATGTAATTCTGCGTTCATTTGGGGTATTTGACTTTTATTATTTAGCGTGAAACTCTTAGTCAAAACCAGCGTTTACAATCTATAAAAATGCAGCATTAATCAATCGAGCAATGCCCTGTGGGGAAGCGCTCCGGGACCCTATCCCGCGTAAAGGGCGCTATATAAATGCAAGATGTTGTTGTTGCTGTATTTTCACTGATTGTGTGGTCAGTTTCGTGCTGTGGCATTTTGCCCACTGGAAAACTGGATTGAGAATGATCTGAATTCCTTCCACTTTTGGGGTCCTCCACAGCCATCAAAGAGAAAATATCTTTATCCCATCTGTCTTCTGTATTTGAACCCAGCCTCGGAGGTGATGCACTGTGCCACCCAGTGCCCCGTAATTTTATTTAAGCATATTTCCCTGGGGGCAAGGCTCGATTGATTAATGCTGCGTTTTTACAGATTGTAAATGCTGGTTTTGACTAAGAATTTGATGCTAAATAATAAAATTCATAGCAGCTGTTACTTTTTGGCAGCAATAAGAAGTGGTCCAGTATTCTTTAACGGCAGCAGATACTGTAGTTTTAGACGTGATTGTGGTGAGGGACTGCGAGACCACAGGCTGAGTAAATCTGTTTCACAATAGAACCCTGAGTGCTTCTCCAGGGAGAAGGTTAAAAACCGTACTGTAAATCATCTTCAGCCATTCAAAAGATGATTTATACTATGTTTTGTGGAAAAAGTATCTGCATCACACACGAGAGTACTCAATCTTTGACCACTCGTATGTATTAATAGGTCAGGAAAGGAATGATCTGGTGCGTAATTACTGTTCATTCGTTCTCCCCCAGCATCTACACACACACACAGATGTATGTTATGCAGTGATCATTTTGCCTTCACTCTCTTCCTTATGTTATGCTAAAACAAAAATGTAGTTATGGAAAAATTGTTAATTTCATTTTTTTGCTGTTGTGAATATCATACAGAGAACAGCCAACCCCATCCAGTTATTTTCTTTTGTATTACAGCTTTGCCTACTTGATCTTGAATGTTGAGACAAAGTGGTCCCACAGGTTAAGACTGGGTGGAATTTCAGGCTGAAACAACAGCTGTAACAGCTACTATGAATATCATTATTTAACATCAAATTCTTAGAAAAACTGTCATTTCCACAAACTGTTTTCTGCCCTTACCTGCATCCATGGGAGGTTGGGCTGCTTCAGAACAGGGGCATGTCCTTGAAAGCCTTGCAGTTCCTTGGTTGCCTCACTGAAGTACGTAATATTGGACCATTTTACTAATACCGCCTTAGATCAATACTCAACATTTGTAATTCCATTAACACATTAATGAAGGTACAAAGTGTTGCTAACACCTTGAAACCTGCAGAGACCTATTTCCAATGTTCAGCTTCCATTTCAAGTGAATCATCTGTTTTAAAAAAATTCAAGCTTCTGCTAAATAGTGCTTTAATTAACTTTATTAACCCTTTGAATACCAATCGGCACTTGTAGCATTAATTATTGAGCAGCTGTAATCCAAAGTTCTTTCCTACCTCCATTTTTTGTGAAGTGTTGTACTTTAAGGTCAATGGGCAGGTTGAGGAAAGTCTTGTCACTAGAGGGTAGCAGTGAGCTCCATAATATTACCTAAGAGGAATTATTCAATTCTACCTGTTTTTTAGCCTTTGAGACCCTTTTGTCTTAACATTGAAGATCAGGTAAACTTGTGGAAATGCTTTAAATCTAGTCTTAATTTGGAATCGATTCCTTTTTTAAAAAAAAACTGCAGAAAACCGGGTATCAAATTAAAACTGAATTTGAGATTATTTCACAAATCTGCTTGATCTTAACTTTTAAAACAGAATTGTCTTACTGAATGAGACAAGGTGGAATTTCGGGCCCCGGTGTTTAGCTTCTGAAAGGAGTGCTTCCTTCTCGGTGTCTGCTGAGCAAAGAAGTGCATTAAACCAGAAAACGTGAATTAATCTATATTTTTCTAGGAAACAATTAACTAGTTGTTTATTGAAAAAAGAAAATAAAAAAAGTTTTTTTTTAAAAAAGCTTTCAATCTGTAGCCATTTAAAGATCTAAGTAAAATGCAGGTTCCATTCATCAGTGTAGGAAACTATATGGACTTAAATTATATCGGTTAAATAAGAACTATATGGTGTTTTCAGTTTAAGTGATATATTCTAAAACTACTGAATTGCAAACTTGTGTTTCAGCAGCGTTCTCAGTAGCGCAGCATGCATTAAGTCAGTAGGACTCCCAGTAGATTACCTTTATGTTTAAAAATCCATGAATAAATATTAGCTAAGTGAAAAATTATGAGGATCATGCTGAATTATGCTTTGACACCCTCTAGCCCAGAGGAGCATGGTCTCAAATTTATAGGGGCCAGGGTTGCTGATCTTGCCAATTGAGATGTACAGTAATTTGTAATGTTCCTGGAGGTTGCAAAGTGCTCTTGTTGCATTAATTTTTGAACAGTTGTAATCCAAAGTTCATTCTTCCTTCGCTCCGGTTGAAAGTAGATCATTTCTCAATCGTTTACGATTTCACTGCTAAATCTTTACAGAATTAAATTTGTTGTTTTTTTTCATTAAACATCTGCTAATTTACTTTGTTTTAATATTGGATTTGTTTCTCATTAAGTAAAACAAAATCTTCTAAATTGTCAAAGTGGATAATTCTAACTAAATTATTTGAGAAACACTTTTAAGAAGCGGTCCCTGCATATGCAGAATACTTAAAGAATCGATATATAAAATAATACCTTGGATTGTGTGCACACTGAGGTAACCTGTGGCTATCTGAACTCCAGATGTAATGGGAATATCCCAAACTTGAATTGGCTGATCTCGGTACATGGGTGAATGCATAACATCAAAAGGTATGGCTCTGCTGTGATAACAAAAGAAATGATCCCTGAAAATATAAAACTGTAATACCACAAAGCCAATGCTTTGATTACATCTGTATCAAGTGGTCTGTCTATTGATTTATATATGCATTAATCCAAGATATTTTAACTTAAAAAATCATAGTAATTACGCATAATTCTACTGTGTTTGGCTGTCAGCTTCTGATACCGTTACTCATTGTTCTAGTCTGGGATATTGAAAATTGAATTACTCACTTAGTGGTTTCTTGCAGTCCATTACTGTTTCAAAAGCTGTGTTGTGCTCCAGGGAACATTACTTAACTCTTTTTGATGACCTTTTTAAATTTTTGACTAGTTGACCAAGTAGAGCAATAATCGATGCATTAGGTAACAAAGAAAATAATCAATTAACTGGGCAGTAATGGATACGAAATTGCTAACACAGCAAGCTGTAGAAAATGATGTACATTTACAAAAAAAATCTTGCTAAGTATAAATTCACAACTACTTTTACGGACACTGGAATTTACATGTGTTCGCCTAGATTTATATTTGATTCTCATCAATACTCTTTTTTTGTGGTCCTTGAAATTTGTTTTTTGTTGCGTTCTGTATTCAGTACATTGCAGCGCAATCAAACAGAATGATATTTCTTAGTATGGTAATTCTTTCTGAGATGTATTTGACATATCATATTAGGAATTGATTACTTGCTTTCCTAAACTTGAGAATTGCATTGCAGGGGGGAAAAAAAACAAATTGTTTCTGGAAGCTGAGAATTGTTCTGGATGTTGGTTCTATTAATTCACTCTAAAGTAACACAACTTCCATTATCTTCTAGGTTCAAGTTTACTCTCTTCAAACAGCTCAACCTTTAGTTACACTTGGTAACTCTACAGGGGACTTCACATGTGTAAATCTCAGGGATAGTCCTCCATACTTGGTTGTCACTGGAAACAAGGACAGGAAGTATGTGGAAACTATTTATTTAATCAATCCTAGTGCTTAATTATCTACATTGATGAACCATCTGTGATATTTTATTCTAATGATCTGAAATCACTTTTTATCGAGATTTCAACCAAACTTCAGAAGTGGTGTTGTCTCTCTATATAAGTTGGTTGCCTTTTGAAAGATGCTAAGAATTATTTGTGTGTTCCATTTTTTTACATGGGTAATTACCTGGATAACTAATATGCGTTTTCTCAGTTAATTTTGAAATTAGCTCTGCTGGAAATTATTAATCCATCAGATTGTGTGCCAATAATATTCTAACCTATTTATCATCTCAGCCACTAGTACTTAGTTTTAAATGATGTTCAAAATTAGTTTCCTTTCATCAAGTAATGTGCTTTGTTCCAATGTGAAGGACTAATAGTTACTTTATAAAGGCACTGAGTTAAGGAATGCATGAGATTATTTGAATCAGAAACCCATAAAATATAGTGTGGCACATTATCTCATGGTAAAATATTGGGTTCAAATAACAGCCTTTACTGAGATATGAACTTGCATATTTTCATTGGGCATTTTTTCCGATTATAATGTGGCTACTCAACAAAAGTAGGTACTTGGATAAATATTTTGTAGCAGGAAATAACACCAAGAGAACCTTTACATTCCAGAAAGCATGCACGAGATATGAAATTTCTTTGCCAAGCTTATAACTGGGATCCGGAACTCAATGGAGAACTTACTTAGGAAAATGTTAACTTACTCCATGACCACGAGTACATCTTTACTAGTTGGTGGTCTTCCTAATTTATCAGAAAGACGTTTACCTATAGGAAGATGTGTGACTTACATTAGAACCCAGAACTCCATTTCATTGGTATTAGATCGACTGTCATATTTATACATTGTATTGTATTATACATTGTATTATACATTGTATGAATATTGTTCGACTCATGTTGACTGCAGCATTTGCTTACAGAGTAGTCACTGCACTTCAATAAAACTCATGTGAAGCACTTTGAGACCATTCATTGGCATAAGGGGCTATATTAAATGTAAAGATTTTGTGTTGAAACTCAATATGATCATAAAAAATCTGGAACTTAAGTGAAAACTTAATGCTAATTTATTGCTGATTCAATATTGTGTGTGTGTGTGTATATATGTATGTGTATATATATTTATTTATATATGTATATATGGGATTTTAACCATTGGATTACAAACATTGGCTTAGATATGATCTCCTGTATCATTAAGTATATGACACGAGTTGAATTTTAACAATGTGGTAGAAAAGCTACTTACAATTCAAAATAAAAAAGGGAAAGTTTACTGTCAAAATGAGTGTTGGGTTATGATTGCATACACTGTGGGTTACCAACCTCAGCTATGCAATTGTTCAGATATTCAGATACAAAGGACTTTGATGCAAAGGAGGGAGACTGCCTCTGGAGCACATTTATTCACTTTCCAGTAACCAATCATTGGATATTTGGTTCATCTGGAGGACAGCAGTTCCCCAGTCCTCGCAAGTTAGAAGTTTTTAAGTGTTTGCTTCAGCTGTGCTGGAAATAAAGCAGTGATTTACATTGATAGCACTAATGTGCTTGTGTCACTTTGGCTTGAAAGTTATTTGTGCCGTTGGCATTAAGATGCTTACATCATATTTGTATTGTAACACTATGTTACAATTTTGGGTCGATCTTATTAAAGTCCTCTCACTTAAAATCCAGCATATAGTTTGTAAATTGCTTTTGATAATACTGTACAGTGTAATGTTAAAACTCTACCTGCTCATGGCTTACCGTATATTTTTTGCACTGTATCATTTTATGGTTAACTTGCTGCTTCAAGGCTTCAACAAACAACTCCATGTTGTTGCTACGAAAGTCAAAAAGAGAGCAAAGAATAAAATGTGTATCAAACGTAAATGAATTAGAATAAAACAAACCTGACGGAGTCAAGCTCAAAGTGACTTGACAGCATGCCTGTCAATGATAGCGTGAGCATGAAGTAGACTGGAGTTGGTGGAGCAGAAGGATTGGCCGGGGGAGTGGGGTTGGAGATCACAGATGTAGGGGAGTGCAAGACCATTCGAAGGTGAGGATGAGGAGCTCAATTTCATCCACTGGTAGAGAGGCAGCTGGAAGGGTCCTGTAGCTCAGTGGTTAGAGCACTCGCTTTACAAGCGAGAGACCTGAGTTCAATTCCAGGCAGAGGGCGAAACCTTGGGCAAGTTTCCTTACTCCACACACAGCCTAATAATAATCCCTCCAAAACCAAAAACAATAATAAATTGGTAATTTTCAATCTACGACTGTTTGTGGGACATTGCTGTGCGCAATTGGCTGCCGCGTTCGCCCACAAATATACAGTCAATTCAGTTTACAGTGTGTTCTGTGAAGCGCTTTGGGACGTCCTCCCGACGTGAAAAGCGCTATATCAAATACAAGGATTATTATTATTATTATTAAGAGAATTGGGTCTGAAGAGCTGGTGTGGGAGAGAATAAGTGCTGTAGCATTCTGCATGGTCTGGAGTTTATTACTGCTAATAATTTAATATAGATTTGATATAGTGTCTTATGTCATAATGTTTTGAAGTGCTTCATTGACTTTTTCTGTGAAAGTTTGGGTATTTGGAAGTGAATGCGATATTCAAATTTTTTGATCTGAAGTGATGTTAGCCAAGACCCAACTCCCTTCTTTTTTTCAAATAGTGCCATGGGATCTTTTACATTTACTTCAACAGGCAAGACTGTCCCTTGGTTTAACATTTCATGTGAAGGACAGGACCTTTGACTATTGTAGTCTCCACCGGCACCTCATTGTCAATCATCCTCACTTCTGATTATGTTGCACAGAAAACAGTTCACTTGGTAAGGATATAAATGCATGGGGACAGGACTAGGTCAGGAGATTCCTCTGGCTGGTCTATTTGCCATCAGCTATTGCATCACACACTCTGAATTCTGTGTTTAAATAAAGCTGTACTTTGTGTTACAGTCAAACAACTTAACTTTTTACTTTTATGCATATGGAAATTTGTTTAAAAGGATATGAAGAAAATAACACCCAAATTGCAGATGGCTGTTCACCTCACAACAGATTCATGATTCATGTCGTTTGCAAAATCGTGCATGATATGACTGTTGTTGCAAGCGGAGGATATAAATTATGTTTTATGCACTAGTAAAAATAGAGTGTCAGCTAAAACGGAAAGTCATTAGTTAGCAGTTCCTTGTAAAAATGTAATTGCTTTAATTTTAAAAATTATGTGATTACTGTTTCCTTTTTGGGAAAACAACTCGGCAAGTTGCTGACTTTTATTGTTGTATGCTTTGTCCCAAGAGTTTAGCTTGATCTCAGAATGGGTAGCATTTGGTTGATGCAGTTGGCATTTGATCCAGTGAGAACTGTTAAAGAAATTTCCTTTTTGCTCACAAAATGCATTTGGCACGAAAAGACTTGCTTTAAAATTAAAGAGCGTACATTGTATCATATAAAACGAGCATGTCTGTGTGATGAGAGAGTGAGGGAACATGTGTACTCAGAGCACTACAGTGCCTCTCCCGTGTCGAAAGCTCCAATGAGCAGATTTCAGACTCCATTTAGTTGATTAAAAGCATCAAAAAGGTCCTTGTTTCAGGTGCTTTAGAGATTTCCTCAGACGGTCTTTTGGATAAGCTGCTCAAAATGATAATCCATAAACAGTGGGGAAATCGTAATAGGAGCACAGCCATCGTGGAGCTGTGGCACCAGGCCAAATTCTAATGGCTTTTTTCTTTGCTTCTGAGGATCAGACTTTTAGCTGTAAATTGTGGGTGCAGTTGGCAGCCCAGTCCCACAGTAGGTGTCAGATTGTGGGCTCGGGTATGCCTGCCAAGAAAAGGGATACTCGTGCCTGAGGAGCAGCTTGCAGAATAATTGATTAATTGTCAAATTACTTTATGAACTCTAGATTGATTAGTTCTAGAGCACTTTGCCTGGCAAATTCTTACGAATGAATAATAAAAGCTTCTGTTTGTCTTTGTATTTAAATTGATACTGCTTCTGCATTATCAGATGTGAGCGTCTGTAAAAGCACTGGCACAGTGACGAAGGCTCATTGTCTTTTCCCAGCGGTGATTGTACTGCAGAGAATGAGATTTGATTTTATAAGTAGCTTTTGGGGGGAGGGAAAAGGCTTTGAGATTGATGCGAGGGTTGTCATGTTCTCTTGTACTCATGCTACAAGAGAAATAGAGTGCATTGATGGATTGGGAATTTGTAATCTCAGATCACTACTGTATCGCGGGAAGATTGTGGGTTCTGTTACACAAACTAAAGAAGAAAAAGTGGCTATTTAGCAACCACGAGTCCAAACAATACTGCAAGTAATACAGTTCTTTAGATCGACTTACAATGTATTTGTTAGAAACGCGCTCATTGCAATGTGGAGTCTTTTGAGAAGAAGAAAAATTGAGTTGGGACAATAATAAACTGAAAAGATGATGATGTCTGTGTAGAAAATACAATTTAATTCCCTGTAACAGTAACTAGAAATCAATACCAAATGTTGTGGGTTTGAAATACAACTTAAAATATTTATTTTAACCATCCCTTAACTGTCACACATCCAGTAATCCATTTTTAAGATGTGTGCTATACCTGCTATACTGTATCCTCCATTATTGAGTTTAATATTTTTGTTGTACACCCACATTACAAAATACTACTGTATGGAGGAAATTATTCTTCCAGTCTCTAACCACATAAATCTGGCCCCTCTACGCTTTCATGGCTCTACCTTTAAAGCCATTTAAAACTTGTGAATGCATTCTCATCAATTTAAATATCCTCAAGCAATTCCTTTTTTTTATATTAAGTAAAATTCTCCACAAAGGGATAGGTGAACTCCTGGAAGCAATAAGGACAAGTTAAACTGTTCATCCAGGCCCAAGCAATAGTATTCCACTGCCCGAAGCATCCTTCAGGGGGCCCTTGTGTTATTGGGAACCTTGTCCTACAAATTAATATTGCTTCAGATCAGATTTACATTTAAGTAATCACAGAACAAGTACAGTAACCATATTGGCCCGTTAATTGCGGTACAAGAATGCAGAAGAATAAAATATTGACCTGCACATTTTCTTTAAGGGTACTTTGTTTCTCCCCCCCCCCCCCCCCATTTTTCTCTCATTTGGCCCCTCTATATGCTGTTTTTGTGAGAGGACAGATCAGATGGCCTTTTCCTATTCTACTGCCAATGCTGCTGTTGGCTTGTCTCCAAGAGGCACAAGTGAACACTGGCGAAGACTGTGCCATCTAATTTATAAATCTCCTCCTTCTCCTGCTGGTCAGCATTCTGTGCTTCTCTACAATATTCTGCATCTCTGAGTCTCTCCAATTTGTGGAACCTTGTATTGATGCCCTGATATCCAGGCTTACTGTGCCCATCGTGTGGCATCTTCTCTTCCCTCTTCCTCCATGGATGGAGAGCTTTAAAATTGTTTCTCTTTTTTACCACCCTCCATGAATAAAGGGAGGAGAAAATGTCCTTCAGGGCTCAGAAAAGTTTTGAGGTAATCCCATTCCACAAAATCTTTACTCTGCAATGTTATTATCATTAAAGTAATTTGCAAATTTCAAAACTCATCAAGCAAAATGAAGCAAGTGCAATGCGACTAAGATTCCAGAGCTATCGAAATTCACTACAATGAGCCAACTTCTGCTTCCATAGGAATGATGTAACACCCACTTAATCTTAATACAATTATGAAAGTGCATTAAGTTTGGCATTAAAATATTGAGTAAAAAAAAATTTGATGTGATCAATGGGACTTGGTATCAATAGAACCACAGATACATTCAGTCAGCATTCTGTGCCTCTCAGCAATGTTCTGCATGTCAGAGTCTCTCCAAATTGTGGAACCATGCATTGATGCGCTGATATCCACGCTTGCTCTGCCCATCATAAGTTGCATCATCTCTTTCCTCTTCCTCCACGGATAGATTTGAGTCTTTTACCATCGTTTTTAAAAAATAAAATAACACTTCTGTACTTATTCCTGAAAGAATGGTTTTAATTTAATTTTTTTTTGTCTTTAATTCTCTTCAGGGTGAGAGTTTTTGATCTTCGGTCAAGTAAAGCAGTGATCTCGCTCTATGGCCATCAGCTAGGTGTGTCATCAGTGCAGATGGACGACTGGAAGATCGTCAGTGGCGGAGAAGAGGGGTTGGTTTGTGTGTGGGAGCAGCGAATGGGAACCAAGCTCTGGGAAATGCATGCCAGGTTTGAATTTATTGATCAACAATCCTAGAATGTAATCATAAATAATCCTTGCATTTGGTAGAACGCCTTGTCATTTCTTATTTCTAGAATTAGAACACAATTGTAATATTTATAATAATAATAATCCTTAATAATCCTTGCATTTGATATAGCGCTTTTCATGTCGGGAGGACGTCCCAAAGCGCTTCACAGAACACACTGTAAAGTGAATTGACTGTATATTTGTGGGCGAATGTGGCAGCCAATTGCGCACAGCAATGTCCCACAAACAGTCGTAGATTGAAAATGACCAATTTATTATTGTTTTTGGTTTTGGAGGGATTATTATTAGGGCTGTGTGTGGAGTAAGGAAACTTGCCCAAGGTTTCACCCTCTGCCTGGAATTGAACTCAGGTCTCTCGCTTGCAAAGCGAGTGCTCTAACCACTGAGCTACAGGACTCCAATTATTATTGTAATATGCAACCTAAACATTTAATATTGTGATTCCTGTTTCAGACATCCAGTACGTCACTTACGTTTTGGGGCACACACTTTAATTACGGCAAACATCCCAGATGAGAAATCACCACGTGGTGCCAGTATCATGGATGATGATTTGACTGCTCACCGTAGGTAAGACAATCCATTGTGCTATTTTTTGTATAGTCACCCATTGCAGAAACAGAGTGATCTTTTGTGTCAGATCCATAATAAAATGTTAAGTATCCATCTTCTGTTCAGAATTAGACTCTTTGCTTCTTCTTGCTGTGATCTGTGATATTTAGTCATCAAGTTGGGAATGGAAATGTGATGTAAAGCACTGTGACTTGTGAAATAAAAAGATTAAGTGTCCCATGCACACGCATAGACTTGCTCTCTCACTCTTAATTCGCTCTCCAACCCCCCCCAAAAAATTCCAAAAATGTTCATTTTAAAAATTCATCCTTCTTTCCCATTACTGAAACTTCAACTACAGATTTTGCCATCATACCTTGTACCCCTATGTTTTGTTGTGTTTGATATAAGTGCTCCAGGATGCTACCCTGCATGAAGGGCGCTACATAAGTGCTAATTGTTGTTGTTGATTCATTATCTTTTATGCTCTATAAAAGGATGAATATCTGCAGATACTTGTTTTAAATTCCTTTCAGAGAAGTAATTATCTCTTTTCAATTCACAGGCATCGAGGAATTATATATGTCTATGATTTTTCGGTGGACAGAGCAGCTCCTGTTTTGCCGATCTGTCGTTCATCATATGATGAAGATGTTGGCTACAGCTACAATATAGGACTTTCAATGCCCTATGACCAAATCAAGTGAATATCTGTCATCTGATCCATATATTTGTGACATTACAGTCATCTAGTAATTCTAGAAATATGCTGTTAATGGAATTACTTTTCAGCATCCAAGGAAATAAGTTGTGAGGTCTCCAAGCAAACACCAAAGGACATCAGTGGGAAAAGAACTGGCCATTTGTTTTTTTAAAAAAAAAAGTTTTTATTCTCCAGTCCTTTCATGTTTTGTTTCTATGATTATCTGTGTCCGCAGAGAGCAACTGTATATTCCCTTGTTTCATGTATGGAATGTGATCATAAAATTGTTTCATACCAGGTACCTACATCTACTGCCGTGTGACACATTCATCAATCATCAAAAAAGGAAACATTTTAAATAAACATTAAGATTTTTTAAATGTTTTTTTAGGCTTAATGATTTTTACAAATTTGGAAGAAGTGCTGTGGGCTGCTTTCTTTATGTTTCCCTCTGCCTTGCCCTCTCCTTCCCCTCTTTTTAGATCACGACTGAAGACCTTCCTCTTTGACCCTGTTTACGGTCACCTCCTCCCTCCCCCTGACTCGGCGTCAGGCTCGGCCACTGTTAAGTGCTCCGAGACTCTGCCCCCGGTGAAGAGTGCTATATAAATGCAGGTTGTTATTATCCTTCTCATCTTGAATGCAAGGATATATACTGGGGTGTCTTTCTACCTTGTATCTCTGGATCACACATGTCGTCAACAACAACTTACATTTATATAGCGCCATTTACGTGGGGTAATGTCCCAGAGCACTTGAACATGAGGGGATCATTGCCAGACTTGATACTGTCTTCAAACAATATATACATTTACAAAATATTTAGCAAGGACCACTGAATACTCCACCAAACAAAAATGGTATTTATGTCCTATATATATTGTATTAAAATATTTTTGGTTTGGGATATGTTAACAATACCCTAACTTGAAATATACAGCAACCTGGAATATTCTAACCTTTTAATTGCAACTTGCATTATATTTTTAATAATTTAAAGGAAAAAACATGCAAATTCTACAAGGAACTTGTACAGTAAATTTACTAAAAGGCAATGTAATACTGCACCAGTGAAGTACTCACTATCAGCCACTGGATGGTACTGCAATAATGCACTTTGCAGAGTGTACAGTAAGCACCATGTAGTGGCAACAATAATGTACTACAATTACAGTTCCCAAGGCTTTTTTGTTAGTGGTATATAAAAATACATGAATCACAGCATGTATTATTCTGTTCACATTGTGGGAAAAAAAACTTCACACCAGATTTCAGAGGCCCCATTTCCTGAGAGACAAACTATTGTCCTGACCAACAAAGCGTCACATAAAATTGATCATTCACTTCATGGCTATGTGTGGGACGTTGCCTTGTGCAAATTGGCTGCTGCATTCACCCACAAATATGCAGTCAATTCACATTACAGTACATCTTGTGAAGTGCTTTGGGCGGTCCTCCTGAACTGAAAGGCGCTGTACCAATTGTAAGGATTATTATATTCATCTGAAGTTTGTATTTTATATTACTAATAATAATTCTTGCATTTGATACAGGACCTTATGTTGTTGAGATGTCTCAAAGGCTTCACACAATATATTGTATATTTTGTGGGGTGAAATTTTAGTAACACATTTTAAACTGAAATAAGATAAACGAAGAGCATGTGTGATGCTGGTATTGAATCCAAGTTTTTGACATCTGGAGCCAGAACTTTAAAAATAGTTTGCTCCAAAGAAAGTAAATTGAAATCAAACATCAAGGACCAAGTGTAAGATTGTCTAACAAATCACCGTTTCACTGGTAGGGATATAAAGTAGTGTGCACTGAATTTTAAAGGTAAGTTAACATTTGATATGTTTGTATAACATTTCTTTCTTTAATTATGTTTCCCTCCTACACTCGCCGCGGCCTTCCATTACGGAAGCTAATGACTTGTGTTGTCACAAGATTACAAGAGAGATTGGAATGAACGAGGCCCTTCGACCCATTTGATCTCATACTTGCCAAATACCCACCCTGTCACAGCAAGCTGTGCTCTGGCCTCAACCACCCTTCCTGGTAACCCATTCCAGTGATTAATTATCCTCTGGGTAAAGCGATGATTCCTGATGTCCCGACTTTGCCCTTTACAACCCTAAAGCACTTTGAAACGCAACCCCCCCCGATGTGAATGGTGCTATTATAAATCTAAATTGTAGTATATTAAAACTGTAACTGCTTGTTCTGCTCTGAAAGTATTGTTCTTAAATGCTGAAAATCTTATCTCTATCTTACCTGTGATGGGCATTGGCCCACAAGATACACAGCCCCACTACGTATATTGTGTGACGCGCTTAGAGACGTCTCGATCATGTGAATGAAAGAATTACTGCATTATTGTTTTTAATTGATCCGGTATTCATCTCAAAGAAGCTTAATATGGACGAACAAAAAGAAAACACTTTTAGTATATTACTCAGTATTAGGGGATGTCCTACTGACGTGAAAGGCGCTGTATTTAAGGAAAGAATTATTATTAATAGTAGTGCAACAACTACAAGTGGAGTCGTGTAGCTCAGTGGTTAGAGCACTCGCCTTGCAAGCGAGATGTCCTGGGGTCGATTCGGGGCAGGGAGAAACCTTGGGCAAGTTTCCGCACTCCGCACATCAAGGAGGGCGATCAAAAGCACGGTGGTAGGAGGAGGGCTCTTGAGATGGGTCTTGAAGGAAGCGAGAGAAATTGCCGGCCGCGTACAGCGAAGTATTTTCCGTAACCCGTTTGAAAACTGAAATAAAATAAACCAGGAGGCGGTGCGGCGTTGGTACCGATCTGAGTGCGTTCATTATAATTATAATAATAATAAGAATAATAATAATCCTTGCATTTGATATAGCGCCTGATCGCGTCTTCAAGACGTCTCGAGGCGCTTCGCGGGATACGCGGCAAAGTGTAGTGAGTGACGTTCGTGCAGTTTGTGGGGCGAAAACCCACAATTATTAATGTTTGACATCTCCGGGGGGGGGGGGGGAGGGGGTGGTAATACTTTATTACCAAATAATAAAATTATGATAAAATAATCCTACCAAATAATAAAATAATAATAATAATCAAATGTATTTAGCAAATATTTATCTTAATATATGAAATATGAAATATAATATCTCATTAAATAGTGAGGGGGGGGCTGTTGAGCTCACCTGCGCCGGAAGGTGGCGGTAGAGAGCGAGTGAGTGAGAGCGTGTGTGTGTGTGTGTGTGTGTGTGCGCGCGTCGAGAGGCTCACCTGTCGCCTGGGAAAGCTGGTCGCGCATGCGCGGGAGTGGAGGCACGTGTTCCCAGGTTGGGCGGAGCGAGCAGTGGGTGGGCGGAGCGAGCAGTGGGTGGGCGGGGGCTCACCTGGGACGGCAGGTGACGTGGGGACGCACGCGCGCGCTGCACGCACGCGGCGGACTGGCGGGAGGGAGCGCGAGCCGTGTTGTCCGTTCGCTCACTCACTCACTCACTCGCTCACTGACTGACTGACTGACCGACGAGCGGAGCGCCCGGCAATGGTGGTCGCCGACAGCTTCTTCCCTCGGCTCCTTCTCCTGCTCCTCCTCGCCCTCACGCCGCTCGCTGTCTCGGCCGCCGCCGCTGCCGCTTCCGCAGCAGTAGGAGGAACAGGTAGTTGTTTATTTTCTTAAATTAATTTACTTCACAATACCCTCCCCCCACACACACACACACGCGCGCGCGCGCGTTTTGATTGTTTTTAAACCTGATTTGTCTTCTTTTTCTTCTCCCTTTTCTTGCCCCTCCGACCCCCGACCTCCCGCCACCGCCACCACCGCCACCGCCGGTCTTTGTTTTGTTTTAATAAATCGCTTCACTTGGCCTCGGCTCCGCTTCTCTCTCTCTCTCTTCGTTTTCTCCTCGGTCGGTTTTACACCCTCGGACTTTCGTGTGTGTGTGGGGGGGGTCTGTGTGTGTGGGGGGTCTGTGTGTGTGGGGGGTCTGTGTGTGTGGGGGGTCTGTGTGTGTGGGGGGTCTGTGTGTGTGTGTGGGTCTGTGTATGTGGGGGGTCTGTGTGTGTGGGGGGTTCTGTGTGTGGGTCTGTGTGTGTGGGGGGTTCTGTGTGTGTGTGTGGGTCTGTGTGTGTGGGGGGTTCTGTGTGTGTGTGGGTCTGTGTGTGTGTGGGTCTGTGTGTGTGTGTGGGTCTGTGTGTGTGTGTGGGTCTGTGTATGTGGGGGGTCTGTGTATGTGGGGGGTCTGTGTGTGTGGGGGGTCTGTGTGTGTGGGGGTCTGTGTGTGTGTGTGGGTGTGTGTATGTGGGGGGTTCTGTGTGTGGGTCTGTGTGTGTGGGGGGTTCTGTGTGTGTATGTGGGGGGTTCTGTGTGTGTGGTTTGTGTGTGGGGGTCTGTGTGGTGTGTGTGGGGGGTCTGTGTGTGGGTTGTGGGGGGGGGTCTGTGTGGGTCTGTGTGTGTGGGGGGTTCTGTGTGTGTGTGGGTCTGTGTGTGTCGGGGTCTGTGTGTGTGGGTCTGTGTGTGTTGGGGTGTGTGTGTGTGTGGGTCTGTGGGGGTCTGTGTGTGGGGGGGGTCTGTGTCTGTGTGGGGGTCTGTGTGTGGATCTGTGTCTGTGTGTGTGTGTGGGGGGGGGTCTGTGTGTGTCTGTGGGTCTGATTTATTTTCTGTTTGTGTGGAAAATAAATCGTTTTTAAGTTTACTTCTCCCCCCCCTCACCCGCAATTAGATTATTTTATTTCTCCCCATCTCCTTTCCTTCCTTCCTTTCCCCACCCTCCTCTCCTCTCTCTCTCCCTGATTTGTTTTCGTTTGATCTATTATTATTTATGTATTGATTTATGTTTATATTAATTATTAACCCCCCCCTCTCCCCGGGCTTGTGTGTGTGTGTTTCGGGGGGGGGGGGGTAAATTAATATGTTTTTATTTACACGTTTATATTTAAATTTCATGTTTATACTTGTTTCGATTTTGTAATTGATTTTTCAATTATTTTTGTTGTCGATTTTTAATTAAGTTTCCTTTTTGTATTGAATTGATTCTTTTAAGTTTTATGCATTTTAATAATTCTTTTATTTTATTAAAATAGTCAGTGATCAAGTAAGAAATCAAATTTTTCTCTGCTTCCCCAAGGGTCTGTGTTTTTGGACAAGATATCTGAGCAGGTTTTTATATATTCATATATATATAAATATACGTATTTTATATAATAATAATAATAATAATCCTTGCATTTGATATAGCGCTTTTCACGTCGGGAGGATGTCCCAAAGCGCTTCACAGAACACACTGTAAAGTGAATTGACTGTATATTTGTGGGCGAACGCGGCAGCCAATTGCGCACAGCAATGTCCCACAAACAGTCGTAGATTGAAAATGACCAATTTATTATTGTTTTGTTTTTTGAAGGGATTATTATTAGGCTCTGTGTGGAGTAAGGAAACTTGCCCAAGGTTTCGCCCTCTGCCTGGAATTGAACTCGGGTCTCTCGCTTGCAAAGCGAGTGCTCTAACCACTGAGCTACAGGACTCCACATATACACATTATAATGTGTAATGTGCACATATAATTATATATTTTATATACATATAGTATATAATTATATTCTTTTTGGGTGGGGTATTAAAAAGGTGACCAACCTAGTACCTGGAACACCCTACTGCAATCCCTCCGCCTGTATTCAGGTGGCACCTAACGACTTTCCAGGTAACTTCACTGGAAGTTAACATTTGCCTTCGGGCAAATGGTACGCGATAGTGAAAAGAAAACTTGCATCTGTTAGAGTGCCTTTCACGTCTGGAAGAAGTCTCAAAGTGCTTCACCGGATATACTTACTCTAAAGAGTGACTGTGTTTTGTGGGGCAAACGAGGTGCTGTCCCACAAAGAGCCACTGAGTGAACGACAGGTTGTGTTGGGAGATTGTTGACCAGGACAGGAGGAGAAACTCCACTTTTCGAATTGTGCCGTGAGATCTTTAATGTCTGCCTGAACGTGCACACGAAGCATCTCATCCGAAACGACGGCGCCACTGACATTGCAGTGAGTTCAAAGAGCCCAAAGTGGGGCTTGAGCCCACACCTTCTTACTCAGAAGTGAGATTGCTGCCATCTGAGTCAGCTTACCCCCACCTACATTGCCCCAGGAAATTGTTGCTCATCTTTATAGTAGCAACGCAAGTGGCACACTTAGATGAGGCGCTGCACAGGTTACTGATGAAATTTGCCACCGTGTTCCTCTATTGCCATCACTGGCTACTTAATGAACTCTGATGCCATTGCATAACAAGTGAAATTGGGAGGTTGTGCGTATGCGTGCGGTGTTCCAAGTGTTTTTTGTGATGGGATCTGCAGACACCCAGAGTAGTGTTGCACTGCCAGGCTTATTTTTATTGAAAAGCTTTGGTTTGTTGTGCGTTGCACCATAACGGTCAAAAAGAATAGGAAGGAAAACCAAATAAATCAAGAAGTGGTTAGGTAAAGTTGAAACTGGTGTTGAAAAGTCTCAGTAGATTGATAGGAAAGGAATTCAGTGTTCTAGGGGCCACGTGAAAGAATGAACCCGCAGTAATAGAATGAGATCAGTCTTGATTTCAACAGTGGAGAAGAACAGGCTGGACGCAAGATGTGTATGCGCTAAGCTATGTTGCAGCTGATCTGTGCAAAATTTCATTATTCTTCCCTGATCCTGAAGGAAATTGAATAAAAACACACTAATAATAAAAGCTGACAAATAAAAAAATAATAACAAGATTCAAAATGGGTCAAGTCTTATCTAAAAGAGTAGCAGATTGGGTATACATGTTCAGTTTTCAAAGTTTGCATCGGATCAGTGTAGGAGATTAAAGGTGAATGGAACAGATTTTTGTCAGGCAGTCTCCCAATCTGTGCTCACGAATTCACCATTTAATATTGAGTAATTTTACCTCCTTGCAACCAAACTGTCAACTACTTTAGGATTTTGCGGCAAAAACAAGTGTTGGATATTTTAGTTAAAATCATTTTTAAAGAAAATGTGTAAATCTTAGTCCTTCTTGTTAATTGTTTTCAAAAAAAATCTTGACTTTGTATGCATATTGTGATTACAGGTAATGCTGCAGATCTGAAGGTTTCCATCGCTCCTAGCGAAGTGTTGCCGAATGGGACAAAGTTTGTATTAAGACATAAAAATGTTTCATTCCATTGTTCAAGTCTGTCACAACAGAAGTCACTTATGTCGTGGAGCTTCGTAAGGCCAGAATCAAAGCCAGAAGAATTCACGGAAATTGTAGAGAGCTTTACAGAATTTTCACTTGCAAATATGGTACATTCCCTGCAAGGAAACTATACCTGCTCAGCAAACAATACAGCACAAGGAATAGAAGCGAGCACTACTGTCGAAGTTTTAGTCTACTGTAAGTTCATTTCTTGTTTTTTTTAAACAGTTCCAATCGTTTTGAAAACACTGACTTTGCCATCGGTCCAACTTAAATAATGATTTGAACAATGTTTGAAATGAACTGTAGTCCTTTGGAATACTGAGGACGGAAACCGGATTGCTCAGACTGGCACAGAGTGTTGGCTCTATTCTTGACCTTCTATTGCCAAACACGACACCTTGGAGCCAGCTCATTTTCAAGGAAGCCCTCGCCTACCTGATTTGAGCTTCCCTTGGAAGCTCACTATCCTGCCATGTATAAATAAATAAATGCAGTAAGTAACAAATTAAACCGTATTAATGAAATTTTGGCTTTTCGATTTTTTTTTTTTAGATCCACCAACAGGATTTCCAGTATGCCATTCAGAGTTTTCTGATACCAATATGTATCTGTATTGCTCTTGGGTTGGCGGCTACCCTTACCCTACCCTTGTTTGGTCGGGCGAAGGAGTAAATGATGAAAATGAAGATGCAGAACATTTTCTTCCTGGACGAAATGATACTAAGATTCTGACACTTTCCAAGTCAGCAACGTACGATGGAAAAATGTTTAAATGCACGGGAAGTCACTTTGCGTATACCAGTAGGGTGGAACCATCATGCACAACAACATTGAGTGAGTAAAAATATTTTTAAAATGTTTATCAGACCTTAATGCAATTGAAGTCTGAAATAATCTCTTTTTAAAAAAAATAATAATGCTAGTTCAATAGAACCGTACACTGTAAAGCTAGCAAGCTTTCTGATGTCATAGGCAGGATTGTATCATTGCACAAAACATAACCTCTCCAATTTCTTCCAGAGGCTCCGCTGCCTGAGTCAGAACCTCTTGTAACTGGATCAGTGGAGAAGAATAAAACTTTGATATGCCGAGTAAAGGAAGGGAACCCACCTCCAAAATTAAGCTGGTTGAGAAACTCTGATACGGAAATTCGTCCGAGCAATAAATATGTAATCTCAAATGATGGCCAAGTTTCGTATTTGACAATAATAAACTGCTCAAAGGAGCTCGATGAAGGAACATATTTTTGCAAAAGTGAAAATCCTCTGGGTACTAAAGAAGTAGAAATCTGGGTCTCAGTCAACAGTGAGTTTGTGCATTTTTTATTTTGAAATCAAACTTATTTTAGGCTTCCCACTGCAATTTTTTAAAACTCAATAGGTAATATTTTTGAGAACTGAATTTGTATTATTTTTCCCCAAATAATTGTGACCATTTCTAACTTTATTTGTTTCTCCCCAAACAGGCAAAAACATTTCTGGACTAGTTGCAGGAATTACTGTTGTTTTACTCCTAAGTGGTGCAATATTTTTTGGCCTTTATGTATACTTTAATCGGACCAGACTTTTCACGAGTAAGTAATGGATGTAGCTTTCATACTTATAACAATTCACTATTGGTATTGAGCAGTCACAACACCAACAAAATTACATTTATATAGCACTTTTCACATTTGAAGGACATCCCAAGGCATTGGACAGTTATTGCTCAATACCTGAGCTGGGGTTTGGAATCAAGAGAGGTCACATTCTCAAAATGAGAAAGCATTGGAAAGTTATAACTACATTGATTCCTCAATTTAGTTTTATTTTAATATTTAAAAAGTTTCAATCTTTATACAAGAATTATTTCCTTGCACTGTGATTCTTTCAATCGAGGATAGTCTGAAATGCAGACTGCTTCACAAATATTACTAGCAATTATCATGTCGGAGTTCTCTTGGCAGTGTTGCTTTCTGGAGATGGAGTCTTTTGCAGCAGTGAGGCACTTTTCCTTGTGGACTCACCAAAAACATTCTAATACTAATTGGTAGCACTGGACCTTGTACATGTGACTTACCTGTATGGGAGGAGGTGGTGGGTGGTTAGGATTGATTGAGACTATGTCAGTGTTTTTATTACAGTGTATGGAAAAAAACAGTTGATGCTGTAATGTGAACAGCATTCTGGAATGTGATCCCAGTATGAGATTGATTGAGTGGAAGGGATTTCTTTATTCAAACCTCTCTTGGGATCTCCAAATCCACTAACACTTTTATAAATGCTGCATAACACAAGCAATAATGTGCAAAAATAATTACTAGATGATGTGTTAAGATTAGTTTCCATTTTAAATTGACTTTCTTTGGCAAATCAGAATAAATGATTAAAAAGATAATGGGAACTCTTATGCCTAAGATTTTTTTGATTGGACTCTGCTTTAATTTTTTTAAATGATTACAATTGATAATTTCTGATTTTGTACTTTTTTTGTTCCTTTTCAGGAAGCCATTTTTGGTAAGTAATCTATTTTAAAATGTACTCACCACTGCTTTGAATGGTGGTGCGGGAAACAACAACAAATTACATTAGTACAGCACTTTTCATGTCAGGAGGGCGTCTCGAGGCACTGGACAGTCAAGAATTTGGACACGAGCTGGGGGGTTGGATCAGCAGTGGTGGGAGGGTGACCTAAGGTGCAGTCAAAGAGGAGAGACTTGAGACTGGCCTTGAAATAGGAAAGGGAGGACGCGAGGTGAAGGGACTGGGATGGAGTTCCAAAGGTTAGGGACAGAAAAGCTGAAGGCCCAACATCTGATGGTGAGGCAGGCAAAACGGACAAAAGCGCAATGGAAGATGATTATAAGATGGTCTAAACCTTTTGTTTATTCGCATAATTAAGGATACCATTTCATTTTCTCTGCACACGCATGTTTGCACAACTCACAAAATAATTCCGACTGTTTATTTCTTGCTTGGATCACATTGTGACCGATTTATAGGAAAGAGGATTCCTCTAATGTTTTCACGTTGGTAGAGTCAGATGGAGAGGATGATTTTCTGCCTGAGAGTTCATCTGGAGTGACGTCAGTGGTTAATCCTGAAATTCACCAGGGGATGAATGGGCACACCGTTGCGCAAGGTAAGCAACCTTTGAGCTCGGGTGATAAGAAATCTGACTAGCTGAAAATACCCGCGACTCATCTAACAAAAATGTTGGCTTAGAGTACTTGCATGTCATTGTAACATCTGAAACTCAATGGAGTGGTGCGGGTGTTTGGGTTGATTCCCTGTTTTTTGTTACCCATTGTAACTCTACTTGCACTAGCACTAGGAGTTATTGACTTGTGTCATCCTTTCAGCATTACTGCATTAAAGTGGAATGTTGAAAGTTTTCAATAGACATTATTGTCATTCCCTTCCAAAGTGGAAACCAACTGGAAGATAGTTTATTTACACTGAATAAAGTCGGTAAATAAAGCCGGAAATTCCATCTCACCGACTGATTGGATCTCTTCTCACCCCCTTCCCGCTGGTCTGGCCGGCTGGGGTTTCAGTGTATTTTTACGTACACGTGCAGAAATCAGTAATAATTAATTCTGGCTTCCTGTTTCATGTGAAACCGTGAATTCAAATCCTATTTATTATGGTAGAAGAAAGTGTGAAAATTAAAGTTTGTGTGTGGTGCTCAACACAAGACATTATTTTATAATTGATTTTGTTTGATTTGTCTTTTCCAGTTTATCTCAATGACTAACGAGGATTGGAGAAAAAAGTGTAATGCACCTTTAACGGTAGGCACTTCATTCCTTTAGCTGAAATGATATTGAATTGTCATCCGTCCTCTTTACAACTTGGAGTGATGGGAACTTGGACCTTGTCAATGTTCACATTCCCACAAATCCAGACATTATTAAATACAGCTTTTGAGCAGATTAGAGCTTTGTTAGCTTGACAACTAGTTTAATAATAATAATAATAATAATGCTTGCATTTGTTATAGAGCCTTATCACATTGCGCTTCATAGAATAGACTGTATTGTAAAAAGTGTAGTGACTATATTTTGTGGGTGAAAAGCAACAGCCAATTGCGCATAGCAGTGTCCTACAAACAGTTGTGGATTGAGTGACCATATTATGAGTAGTATTTTTTGTTTTGAAAGAACTATTACCCCCGGAAAACAATCCGCCAATCGACTTAACAACCAATTTTAAAGAAGTTTAGTTACCAAGAAGCACTTAACTGCAAGAAATTCTGGTGCAGAGTGGGATAGTTGCTTTGCCCACCCAGAATAGTCAATTTTAGAGTTACGTTAACAGGGACCTACATGCCCCAAATCAGGGTAAGGTTCACAGAGCAAAACCTTTATTCGACCATACATTTCTGCAGTGAAAGGTTCTACAATATGTTACTTGGTGCCTGTGTTTGTTTTTTTCACTGAATCATTTTCTTCTTTTCAGCCTTTAGGACAAAAGAAACTTTGATTGCTTCGGTACGATACCTTCTGTTCTCTGTGAAAATGTTTTTTTCAATAAATTCTTGTTGGGGTTGTACTGATTTCGAAATGTAAAATAATTACGCACTGATGCTATAAAGCAATTTTTTTGCTGGGTACGTGGGAACAAATAACTAAATGGGATCTGAATAGGATGTTTTCTACTTTTTTTNAAATATTAAAAGCAAACAATTGGAACAAATAGCGGAAAATGTACTTTAGTTTATACTCAGGAATTAACTGAAAGATATCTTCAAGGTGTTTTGTCTCGTTTTATATCGTCTCTCAGTTTGTATCATTTTAGCTTCAAACAAAATGAGACTAACCTATCTGCCTTAAAGAAAAGCCTCTTCCTTCAAAATCTGAGCTGGATTTGTTTGTTTAAATATTGCAGGAGTTTCCAAAGTTTTCCAGGCGGAGCACTTTTTGTTCAACTAAATTCAATATAAATTGATTTATAATACTTGGATTCTATGCATTTGGGGGTTTATTTTTATAATGTATTTTCTATTGGTGTAGTGAGCAGTTCTGTGTTTTTTTTCTTTGTTTTTGTGCTGAATCAAATGTATTTATGATGTACTTGCAATTGCTACACAATAAACAAATTCTATTAGAATTTCTACCTGGTATGTGTAATGAAAGTGCCTGCAACTCATGTAAAGTGGACTTGTGAAATCTATGTGTGTGTGTGTATGTGTGTATAAAGGTGGAGTCCATTAGTGCGTTTGCCTTGAAAGCAAGGACCTGGACTCGATTCCTGGGCCGGGCAAAACGTTAGGCAAGTTCCTTTACTTTACACGCCTCTGTTTACATAGCAGGAACCTGGTTGTTAGTCGATTGGCGGATCGCCTTTCAGGGATAATATTCCTTCAAAAAGAAAAAAATAATAATCCATGACTATTTGTGGGACACTGATGTGCACATTTGGCTGCTGTGTTTTGCCCCATCCACCCCCAAATATACAATCAATTCACATTACAGCATATGCTGTGAAGTGTTTTGAGACGTCTCGAAGATGTGATAAGGAGCTATAAGCAAATGCAAGGATTGCTAATACGATTCACAATCACCGTGCAGCACAGGAATATTTTACTTTATACCGCACTTGAGTTTTTACTTAATTCTGCAAAATACAGTCAAAAACTTCAATGTGCATTGAGGTGTGGTGTTATAGGCACTATACCAAATGCAAGTATTATTAATTAGTTACTGGACTGTAATCGCATTGTTAAACCGGACAACATTGGCTGTTGCTCTGCTTCAAGGAAGAACAGAGGAACGTGAGAGTCCCTCATTAGCAGCTGCACGTCAGTGAGGCTCAGAATGTGAATCAGGCATTGGTATCTTGTGTGCTTCGCTCTGTTCAAACGTAGTGCTGTCAGTTTAGAGACATTGGCAGAGATTTACAAAGAATCTACAGCAAAGAAACAGGACCTTCAGCCCAGCTAGTCACGTGCCGGTGTTTACACTCCACGCGAGTCCCCACCCATTCCTTACTCCCTCCCGTAATCTTTTATTCACTTCTCCCCCTGTCGTGAAGGTCTAGCTTACAATAAAATTCATCTATACTATTGCCCGCAAATACAGTCACTCCACGTTACAGTACATTCTGTGAAGCGCTTTGAGACGTCTCAACGATGTGATAAGGCGCTACATCAAATGTAAGGATCGATAATAATAATAATGATCCTTGCATTTGACATAGCACTTTTCACGTCTTCTCGACGTCTCAAAGCGCTTCACAGAATAGACTGTAAAGTCAGTTGACTGTATATTTGTGGGTGAAACGCGGCAGCTCATTGCGCTCAGCAGTGTCCCACAAACAGACGTGGATTGAAGCGACCAATTTATTATGGATTGTTTTTAAAAATTAAAATTAAAAGAACTACTGCAAGCTACTTTTTCTGGGTTCAGGAGTGACACCGGATCTGCTTCAGCTTCAGCCACCACAAGTCAACATAACCATTTTCCCACAGTACTAGTAAAAGGAAGAGTATTTGTTCAGTTTGTATGCTTTGACACTGTTCTGTTCCGTCTCAATTGGTCGACGCATTGAGCGCTGCAGAGAATGGGAGCCCCCACCGTTTGCCTTCGAAGCAAAATCTTCTTTATTATATTTTATTTATATTATATTCTGTATTATTATAATTCTGTTTCAACCACCGCTTAGCACAGCAATTCACGATGATTGGCGGTGAACGATAGTTCCACGGTGATTTGGCAGTATTGCCGAAAGATTTGTGCTTCACGTGTGGGATAAGAGACATTCACCTTCAAGAGTAGTGAACGACCAAGGTGGTAAAAGAGGTGCGGAGTTTAACTGCTCATTTTAACTGGTGTGGTTGATAGCAACAGGGTGTAAATTAACTAAATGAGACCTTTAGACTTTGCTGTGTATTTGTCCTGATGGACATGAAAGATACCACAGCTCTATTTGAAAAAAGGGTGTTTTGGCCAACAATCTTCACCACCCCTCCCACCCCCCCCAATAAAACTCACGTCTTCCTTGGCTGTTTGTGGGACACTGCTGTATGCAAATTGGCTGTTGCGTTCACCCGTAAAATACACACAGTCGCATCATCCACAGTGCAATTGCAGTCTCATCCTGCAAAGTGCTTTGAGGCGTCTCGACGATGTGACGAGAGACTGTGTCAAATAAAGAATTATTATTATTATTATAATTATTATTACTGGGTGGCTCGCATCTCCTGCTGCATACGCAGCAGCCAATTTGCACGCAGCAACAACATCTTGCGTTGATGTAGCGCCCTTCACGCAGGCTGGCGTCCCGGAGCGCTGCCCTGCTTGTTCTTGATTGCTAATTATTTTGTATTATCGATTTGTAATTAAGTGGATGGTTGATGTTGATTATTGATTTGTATTAAGTTGATTATTAATTAAGACAGAAACAGCCACAGAGCAAGACACTAGTTTATTTTTTTGTGTGTGTGGGGGGGGGGGGGGGGGGAGTTGGAGATTGTTGGCCAAAGACACTGTGGAAAGGAACAAATAACATATTGTTTGTTGTAACAAACTGTTTGGTTATCTGCTTGATTTTGATCATCCAGCCTGTAGGAGACTCTGTGGAGGCGGCTCCGAGCCCAGTCACTTTAAAAGGGTTGGGTTGAGCTCAGCTGTTTTTAAAGGGCAACTCAAATCATTGACATTGAGTTCAACGTTACGGCAGGAGCGAAGCAACCCAACGCCCTGTGTTATAATCTCTTTGCAACACACCCACTGTGTGTGTGTGTGTGTGTGCAGTGTAGCGTACAGTACACTGCAGTGTAGTTCAGCTGTATTTTAAGTCAGCGATAACGAAAGAGACAGATCGTTTATAAATGGATTTATTATTATTTTTTTAAATCTGAATTGGTCACGCAGAGAGAGAGAGAGAGAGAGAGAGCGAGAGAGCGGGAGAGAGAAATAACCTCACCAGGGAGTGTGAAGCACAACTGGAAGTTGGAGACGAATTCAAAGTGTTCCCATTTTCAGTGTCTCCATGAACACACACACACACCACAGTCGCCAGGATAACCTACTGACTGACAGACAGACAGACAGACGAATGGATGGACACACAGATTATAACCCGGAAAACACAGGTCAGAAAATGCTCGACTTTCAGAGGAAACGTTTGCCAGACAGACAGACAGAGACAGAGACAGACAGACAGTTTCTGTCTCTTGATTGTGGTTCCTCCTTAAAAAATGTTCTTGTTTCCGAATTGTTTTGCCAGAGGCTTGCATCTATTTAAGGCAGCGCCTTATCAAGCTCCTGCGGCTTTAGCTGGTTAGACTCCAGTAGTTTACCCCCAAGGCACACTCTGGGGTACCTACCCCCGTCCCCCACCCCCCCCACGAAGCCATGGCTCTTGCCAACTTCTCTGGATGAGTCCTTCCAGGGAGAGAGAGAGAGAGAGAGAGCGCATTTCATTCCAACAATCTATCTCTGGGATAGATCCCGTGTAGGTGGGATGTGTGGAATTCTCAAGTTTGGCTTGGATATTCTTAAGCACGGTGATGGGTTTCCGCACGTGTCAGACACCCGGCTGAACCCCCAAAAAATAGCGCCAGAGTCTCAAAATGTTTTCGAGAGAGAGAGAGATATCAGGGAGCAACAGAGGAGAGAGGGAGACACAGTCAGAGGGAGAGGGTTTGGGGAGGAAGGGGAGAAGGAGCCTGTGAAAAGCTTCTTGGAGGGGGGAGCATTCCAATACAATAACAATATATTAGTCTAAGCTGAAGCTTCAATGCAGCACTGGGTGTGCCACGTCTCACCCACAAAATCACATGCAGTCACAACACTTCACCGTGTATCCAGCGAAGCACTTTGAGATGTCTCAATGAAGTAATGAGACGTTACATCAAATGCAAGTATTACTGAAATATTATTGTAAAGTGCTTCACAGGATATACGGTAAATAAGGGACTACTTTGTCGGTGAACTGTGACTTCCTGTAAGGTTTTATCAGTTTAGGGCAGGATATTTGGGAAGGATCTGTCAAAGTGGTACATTTTTGCTCTTTTTAAATCCACTCGAAGTATATTATTAAGGACGATGAAATTCGGAAATGAGTCACTTTTGGTTAACTGCATCTAATGTGATGCAAGGCCACGGGTCAAGCCTGACAACCCATGACTCAACGAGGTGGGAATTATCTGCAGCTTTCAAGGGAAGGGCTGTCACTCAATGAGCCTTGTATTGGCTGTTGGCTCCATCTTGTTTTGTCGGGTTGGTGTCCTGCTCTGCCACTGTCGAGCGCACTGGGACCCCACCCTGCGTGGGGGGTGCGCTATATAAAATGCACGTTGTTGATGTTTTGACGGTGCTTTTGGTCAAACAGGCCCTCCACCCATCCACCCACCCAATTGCGATCCCAGCTAGCAGGAATGGGCGCTTTGAAAACATACACCCAACGTGAAAGATGCTGTATCAATAACAATAATAATTAATAATAATTATCTTAAAAAACAAAAATAAAATATCAAAAACAATAATAAATTGGTCAGTTCAATCCACGACTGTTTGTGGGACGCTGCTGTGCGCAATTGGCTGCCGCGTTTCGCCCACAAGTATAATCAATTCACTTTACAGTATATTCTGTGAAGCGCTTTGAGATGTCTAGAGGACGTGAAAAGCGCTATATCAAATGCGAGGATTATTATTATCTTAATATTAATAATAAGTATCTTTCAATGTCAGGCCGACGTTTAGAAGCACTTCGCAGGATATACTGCAAGTGGGCTGACTTTTTTTTGTAGGTGAATACGGCATCCAATTTGTGCTCAGCGACGTTCCCGCAAACAGCCATGAAGTGAATGACCAATTCGACCATTCCCCTCTCTTTTCGAATAGCGCTGGAAAGAACGGAAAGAAAGAAAGAAAGAAAGAAAGAAGGAAAAAAAATAGTCAACTAAAAGCTGAACTTGTGACCGGGGTTTGGAGGATGGAGGAAGGATTTATAACATGTGACAGCATTATAGGGAAGTAATTAGATTTTGAAGCTATTTATAGGGGGTACTTCAATTTGGGCACTGGGGGAGGTGGGGGGAGGGAGTTGTGTAAGAATTGGCAAACTAAATGGTTTTAGCTGGTTAGACTCCAGCACTTACCCCAACGCACACTCTGGGGTCCCCCCCAAGCCTTGGCTCTCGCCAACCTGCGCCTAATACTTTCCGGAATTAGGTAAGCAGGGGGTGTCCCTCCAGGGAGAGAGAGAGAGCGCATTCCATTCCAACAATCTTATCTCTGGGATTTCCATACGTAGGTGGGATGCGTGGAATTCTCAGTTTGGTTTCGAGACTCTTTAAGCAACGGTGATGGGTTTCCTCACGTGTCCAGACACCCGGCCGCCCAAAAAAACAGAAAATGTTTTGTCTCCTCCCAACAGCTCGGCCTCGTTTGCTTGGGAAATTGGTGCCCAACAGAAGCCGGGATACTGACCCAGGTCTGGCCTGGAGACATGGAGTGTGGCGTTTTCACCTGACGGCTCCTATTTTGCCTGGTCCCAGGGGCACGGGATCGTGAAGCTGATGCCCTGGCCCCTCGCAGATGGCGATGAGTGAGTTTGCAGATATTTCTGAGTTTGTTTCCTCGATTTTCGGGCAGGGCGAAACGTTCCTTATTCCTCGCGCCTCTGTTTACCTAGCAGTAAGTAGAAACCCGGTTGGTAGTCAATTAGCAGATCGCTTTCCGCCGGAAATAATACCTTCAAAATAAAATTTTGTGGGACATTGCTGTGCGCAATTGGCTGCCACGTTCGCCCACACATATACAGTTAATTCACTTTACAGTGTGTTCTGTGAAGCGCTTTAGGACGTCCTCCCGACGTGAAAAGCGCTATATCAAATGCAAGGATTATTATTATTATTATTAAAATAACAAAAACAATGCGGTTGCTCAATTCACGACTGTTTGCACTGCTGCGCTGTGTGCAATTGGCTGCCGCGTCTCGCCCACAATATACACAGTCAATCCGCTTGGCAGTATATTCTGTGAAGTGCTTTGAGACGTCTCAATAATACGATAAGGCGCTTCATCAAATGCAAGGATTATTATTATTATTATGGCTCCCGTATATTGACGAAGTTGAGACTTGTTTGGGAGTCGGCTGTTGCGACGAGGAAAAAGTCAGTGTCTACAGACCCTGAGTCAAGGTTGGAAGCGGACAGACTGATCGTGATTAAGCTTCTCTTTCTCTATCAGATGCCAGGTTTATTATTATTATTATTTATTTATTGTTGCTTTATCTTTTGCAAGATGTTCGCGATGAGACAGTCATTTTGAGGGAGTGCCTCCACATCTGGTCTCGTGTACGCAGACCTTTGCAAACCAGCGCGGCTCCAATTTATTCTGCACTGAACCGAACCAGCTGGTTTGTAGGGAGTTGGTGCTCCCAATGTCAAGCCATTGTATACTGGTTAAACTCCAGTAGTTACCTCTGAACGCACTCTCTGGGGTCCCCCAAGCCTGGGCCCTTACCAACTTACGCCTAATACGCTCCGGAATTAGGCAAGCAAGGGGCATACCTCGGTGGTGGGGGTGGATGGGTGGCGAGAGAGAGAGAGAGAGAGAGTGCATATTCCATTCCAAACACAGGAATTTCCTGTGGGTGGGGGGGGGCGGGGTTGCTTATGTGGAAGTCTGTCTGATTTAGATATTCTTAAGCATTGAGATAGGTTTCTGCATGTATCAAAGCACCCGACTTACCCCCCGAAAACCAGGCACGCAGTCACTACACTTTACAGTATACCAAGTGCCGCGCTTTGGGACGTCCTCCAGATGTGAAAGGAGCTGAACCAAACGTAAGGATGATTAATTATTAATACTATTATTATTGATAATTATTAGAATCCAGAAGAACACAAACCAGAAGAAGCAACACATTAAAGCAGGCGGGAGAGAGAAGAGCGGGAGTCGAGACAAGACGATTGATTGTGGGCAGACCGTGTGGAGCTTGGCTTTCGGTGTGTCTTCAGCTGTGAACGGGCACCGTGGGATGGGCAGCAGCGGCAGGAGCGGAGCAGTCACTTCCCCGACCAGACCCTCCTCCTCGCCACAGGCCTGGCCAACGGAGAGATCAAACTGTGGGATGTGCCAACAGGTAAAAAAAAAAGCTCCCGGTGCATTTTTGGAGTGAAAAGTGCTGTATAAATGCCCTCCACCCCTCCTGACCCTCCCACAACTCCCAGCTCAGGTCCCAAAAAAAACCCATACAGCTGTCCAGCGCCCTGGGACGTCTTTCCGATGTGAAGAGCGCTACACAAGTGTAATTTGTTGTTGTTGTTGTTGGTGGTGGTCGTTGTCAGGAAGGGTGGTTGAGGCCAGGACACTGGAATCAATTGTTTTTTTTAAAAAAGAGAGCAGCTCGATGTGCTGCGGTGGGAAGACCGTGGGAAGGCGGACGGTTCCGGAAGGACGAGATCAGAAGGGGCGGAAGAGTCTTCCTCATCCAAACCGATCTCGTGGTCTTGTGGAGCGAGAATTGTGCGAAACGGTCCGATTGTGCAATTCTGTCAAGTCTTACGGAGAGGAGAGCCTGTGTCCCTCGGCTGGTGAAAAGTGGTCATTACACAATGTTTTGTAAAGTGAATTGACGGTCTTATTTTGTGGGCGAAACGGGGCTGCCAATTGCGCCCAGCAGCGTCCCACAAACACTCGTGGATTGAGTGACCCAAGTTCTTACGATTAGAATTAATTTTTGAAGGGTTTATTGCCCCCGGAAAGCGATCCGCCGATTGAGTAACAACCGGGTTCCTGCTTACCACCACATATCAACGACAAATTACATTTGCATAGCGCCTTTCACGTCAGGAGGACGTCCCAAGCTGCTGATTACCGCTAGGGGTATAGAAACTCACTTAAGGTTTCGCCCCACCCGGGAATCAAACCCGGGTCCTCTCGCTCGCGAGGCAATACGTGTTAAGCACCACACTACGGGACTCTACGCTTTGAGATGATACGGTGAGGCGCTGTATCAAACGCGCGGAGATTGTCTTATTGTCGTTCTGAGCCACCCATCGGGTTCCTGCTCTCCTCGCAGCCCGGTTTCTCTTCCATTTGAAAGGACATCGAGCGGTTGTGAGGAGCTTGGCCTTTTCCCCCAGCGGAAGTTTGATCCTCGTGTCTGGGTCACGAGACAAGACGCTGCACGTGTGGGATCTCAAGCAAGATGGTGAGTGAATGGAATATGTCTTTCCTTTTGCCTTTATATTTCAGAAATCCCTCCCTCCCTCCGACTCTCTCTCCCCCACCCCCTCCTTCCTCTTGGTTCAAGGTTTGACTCAAAACCTACTTTTTTGATTCAAAACCTACCGCTGTTGGTCATCTTCCCCTCCCCTCTCCCGACTTTATCTTCCCTCAACCCACTCCCCACCTCGGGCGAGCTCTATACAGGGTGTCCATAAAGTCCTCTTACCCCTCTGTTCCAAAACAGCCACATGAGACTACAGAGGAACTGAAACAAATTGTTAGCGATGTGTATTGCCTGGTCAGTCACTCCATCAAAGTTACAGAAGATGTGGCAATGAGCATGACGACAGTTCATTATCTGCCGTGAAAATTATGGTGCTCACCCACGCACACACACACACACCCATCCTCTGGACGTCTAAATGCAGTTAAACACTTGTACTGAATGCAATGAAGTAACTTCTGAATACAATTCTCACCATTCTTCCACGCGCTTTAGTTGTTGGTCAGTGCGTTGTAGAAAAAAACCCGGCAGGGGTGAGTAACAGGACTTTGTGGACACACTGTACAGTCTGTGAGCTCAGACTATAACAGGCACTGAGTGATTTCTTTACTTCCTTCCTCTGAACAGGTAAACTCCTGCGTGTATTGACTGGCCACAGTCACTGGGTGTACTGTTGCTCTCTCTCTCCTGACGCCAATGTGCTTTGTTCTGTGGGCGGAGGAAGGACTGTAAGTTGACCATCTACGGTACAAGAAGTTGGGTTTGTTTTTCCCCGCCCCCCCCCCACCAGGCTGTTTACTGGCGTTGGATTGTTTCTAATCTTGTACTGATTGTGTGCTGCGTGCCACTTGAGTGCAGGTTGTGAAATGGGATGGGCAAAAGCAGGTTCAGTAGCTTTTTTATTACCAAATGCACAGTCGGAGAGGGGTAGTGGGGGGCGGTGTCTTGAGTAGGGGAGGAGCCGAAACGGAGGGATTGCGGGATGGAGTTCCAGAAGGTAATAATACCTTCAAAATAAATAAAAATAATTTGGTCATTCAATCCACGACTGTTTGTGGGACGTCGCTGTGCTCAATCGCCTGCCGCGTTTCGCCCACAAAATATACAGTCGATTCACTTTCCAGTGTTTCCTGTGAAACGCTTTGAGACATCTCGAAGACGTGATGAGGCGCTGCATCAAATGCCAGGATTGTTATTATTATTATATATATATATTTATGTCATAAAATAATATTAATGACATTTCAGTAATGGCTTTTTATTTGAATTCTTTATTAACGCGCAACTATTTTAAGGCTCGACTCTTTAAAGTTACCTCCCATATTTGTTGCATTCGTGTTTTTTTAAAGAAGTGTCAGCCTGGTTCAGTTGGTTGCACGTGCGTGAAGACTAAAGGTGTGTTGTGATTTCAGGTCCTGCTTTGGAACATGCTTTCGTATGAGCTGATCAGGCGACTGGACGGACACGAGGGTGACGTGGTTTCGTGCGATTTCTCGCCCGACGGAGCGATGCTAGTCACCGCCTCGTATGACACACAAGCGATCGTGTGGGACCCACACTCTGGGGAGCAACTGATGAAACTGAGGTGAACCACAGGAGCGCGAACGCTTAAAAGCTAAACTCTGCTGCGTTTTTCCTGATGTGCGCCAGAGTCATTGGGAGATACGATCTCTAGCGTCAGAGGAATGAGCTACAAGCAACAATTAGACACTCTCTTGAAAGGAGTGCCAGTGAGTTTATAGTCCCTCCTGATCGTAGCTACCAGCTCAAGTGCGGATCCCTGACTGTCCCTGACGTCCTCCTGACGCTGTGTAAATGTAATTTGTTCTTGTTGTTGAACCCCACGACTTTCTGACTCAGAGGCGAGAGCCCTACGTACCTTACAAACCGACAGCGAGCTGACGATTAATACACAGCATCTTTCTGTCTTCCAGTCACTCCAGCCCAGATGTTGCTCAGGACTTGATCGCTGGTGGTTTCGACACTGGGTTTATGCGAGCTGCCTGCTTCTCCGCTGAAGGTTTATACGTTACTTCAGTGGCCGATGATGGGTGAGAACTTTTAAAGCTTTATGTATTATATATTTATATGTAGCAGCTGCTCTGGTTTTGTGTCGCTCGTAATTCAACATATTCCCCCTTTCCCGTAAGCGCTTGGCTGCCATAAGGGTCACAAATGGCCTTTTGTGCCAACACAATAAATTAATTTAAGAGTCTCCAAACCAAACTGAGAATTCCATGCCTCCCACCACACCAACACACGGAAATTCCGGAAAAAGGTTTTAATTTTGGTCCACGAAATATACAGTCAATCCACTTTATGATAGATTTTGTGAAGCGCTTCCAGACATCTCGACGACTGATTAAAAAGCACTGTATCAAATGCTAGGATTATTTATTTTACGTAATCCCACTGCCCCGCCTTATCCCCATTTGCCCTTCAAGCTCAACTTGCATTGTGGAGAAAATGTTGGCGTTACGATGGGTTGTGTGGGAATTTGTGCGGCAATGTTCTCGTGCTATTTAATAATTATAATAATAATCCTTAGATTTAGTACACGTCAAGAGGATGTCCCCAAACGCTCCACAGGATATTCTGTAAAGTGCAGTGACTTGTTTATTTTGTGGGTGAATGTGGCAGCCAATTTGTGCACAGCAATGACCCACGAGCATCCAGTTTTATTTACGACGACAATTTCCCAGAGCGCTCGAGAGTGACGCGGCGTCCGACCCCGAGCCCGTTTTATTTCGGTTAAAGATAAGTGCGCTTTTCACCAAAGAAGACACAGAGTAAAGCAAACTTGTTTTATATTTTGTTGATGATGAAAAGGCTCCTGCGGATCTGGTGCTTGACGTTACAAAGACCGGTGTCTATCGCCCCTCTTGTTAATGGGCTGTGCTGTACGTTTCATCCACGTGGTGCTGTGTTGGCCGCTGGGTAAGTGTTACCGTCATTGACATGTTGTGTCATCCAGTATTGTCACAGAGGTTTAAAGCGCTCTCTGTTACTTATAACGTGTATGTGGATTTGTGGCTGTGTTTCGCCCACACATACAGTCCATTCACCTTGCAATATATACTCTGCGAAGCGCTTTGAGACATCTCGACGACATGATAAGACGCTATATCAAATGCAAGAATTATTATTATTGTAATGCTGGTCGACTGTGCGCCTGTGGTTTTTACAATACATCTTATACAGCGCCCTTCACTTCGGGAGGACGTCTCAAACTGTACGCTGATTGGGCAACAGAGCTGAGGGTGAGATTCGAGTGGGGGGGGGGGGGGGGAGGCGGGGAGCGGGGGAAGATAACCAAAAGTGGTCAAAGAGATGCTTCTTGAGATGTGTCTTGAAAGAGAGGAGGAGGGAGGTGGAGGATAGGTTCCATGATGGAATGCCAGAGTAGGGCCAGAGTGCGACCACGTTTGTTGTTGAAGGGATTATTACCTCTGGGAAAACGATCCGCCAATCGATTGACTAAGAAACCCCGCATTTGTGTTTCTCTTTCTTCCAACCCATCCCCCTCTCTGCACTATTTCAGCACGCGGGATGGTCATGTCCATTTCTGGTCTGTGCCACGGCACCTCCCGACTCTCCAGCATCGCTGTCGGGTGGCTCTGCGCAGTGTGATGTCCACCCAGCAAGTTACGTACTTGTCGATTCCAAACAAGATGAAGCAGTTCTTGGCTTACAAGATATTTTAAGGCTTTCTTTTTTAAAAAAAAATGTGTGTGTCTATATATATATATATTTATATATACTTCGAAAACTGATCAGGATAACGGGTTGGGATCGAAGAGCCTTCAGAATATTGGGAGATGAACGAATGCTCGACGATGACATGCATGGGAATCGTTTGGGCCACAGTTGGAATAGGACTTGGAACAGTTTACCTCGACCGAAAACGATGAGTCTTGCTACACTGGAACGTGGATCAAAGGAGCCCTGGTTATCTTGAAAGTGTTCAGGAAGTTCCGCATTATTTTGTAGAGTCTGTTATTTTGCACCTTCTTTTGGCTCTGGAAACACCACTTGCGATTTACCAGAGCTTTTAACTCAGTGGTGTGAGTGCCATGACTATGGCTCTCATTTGCCCCCTTCCTTTTTAAGACAAAAAAAAAGATTTTTTTTTGCCCCGTTGTCCATTTCTATTGTATAATTTTAAAAGGATTTCCTTTCCTCTTTCCCCTGCCCCCGTGCCCTCCAAATAACTCTCGGCAGCTTGTGAAAACTTTGGGAGTTAACCAAACTCAACCAAAAAAGGTGAGATTTCTGTTTCAAAACCAAAAAGTTTGAACTGTTCTGGATGTAAAGAGGGGATAAGTAATTATGTTAGCTTCAGCTCTCAAGGTTGGAGTTTCTAACCCCTTAAGACCCTTTCCCTTTTTTTTGCTGGTCATCAATATTTAGATGGTTTACATTTTTAAAGCACTTGATCATATTTCTCTGTGAAAGATTATTCTCAACTCTTTGATTTTCTTCCCGACACACACCCCTGCCTGATATTTTACCGTATCCCTCTCGTCGCACGACCTGTATCTAATTATTTTTTATTCTTGATGGTTTTTTCCCCCTCGCCTTAGTGAGAACAGACACAAACTGATGAGATGGACTGTGATTGTTGATCAACGGAGAATAGACTTGAGAGAGAGAGAAGGTAAATTAAAAGTGAGACAGAAACTAATAAAACAACCGAACACAAGTTGTGAAAGTGAGGGGCTACCAGTGAAAGAAGCAGATAATTTGGTTAAGAAATGTAATGCTTTTTTAAGGGAGATTAATGGGGGGAAAAAAATGTTCTTGCTACAATATAAAACATTTTTTACTTAAGGTTAAGACTAGGTTTAAGTATTCTTGAATATTATTTATAGCATTTAAGACTAGATACAGCATTGATTGAAATATGGACCATTTTTGCACTGTCTGTGCAGTAGTCCTGCTCTGCAGGGCGTCTGCATTACTGTTCACTGGCTTCATTGCCAATTGAGGTGAGCAAGCTGCAATTTTCTTTTAAGAAACACACAAACGTTACTTAAAATCTGAAGGTGAAACACAGGAACAAACGTTCTGTCCGTCAAATACCCGCGAATGGGAAAATTCATCTCGTGACACATTTGCACTGTCTATCTAGAAGAGGTCGAAATTATTGGGGGGTTTTTAATACACATCCACACAAGCACAGACACTTCCATTTTAATATATAAAGCGTACAGTAAAGGTGTCACAGATCAACTGCTTTTGAAAGGACACGGTCTTAAATTGGGATGTGCTTAGCAGTCTGTTACAGTACTTTTTTTCCCCCAAAGAAACACTATCTGTGGAATATTGAACAGGTAACTTTTATCCCCCTTGCAGCGTTACTGACATGCTCACTATTTGTCGCTGTGCCTGACTGGGGGTGGGCTGTCGAGTTATCCCAAGCTCTCTCCTGAACAAACAATTCCTCAGAAAGAAGGTGAAATGCCACTCTTTAATCGTTTAATTTAAATAAATGTTGCATTTCACAAACCCCCCCCTAAATTAAAACGGTCAAGTTATTTAGCAGTTTGCACATGTCGAATTGGTTGCGATTTATAATGAAGAATTCGGTGTTTCAATGTACTTAAATAAATAGCACCTTTTTTTTTTCCATCCTGGCGCTCATTCATCACTGTCTCAGAGTTTCAAACCTGTTGCCTGATCTGCGGGGGGTCCTGTCCTGTGTGATATCAAATCTGAAACGCAGCAGTTGGACCATCCAGTAGATGGCACTTGTTTAATATTTAGGACTACCGAGTATTTTATAGGATTGTTTATTTGACTGACCTTACATCAGAGCTGGAGGATGTTGGGGAGTGTTTCTCTTACAGACAGGTGTCAACTAGGAAGATACAAAATATACCTCTTTGCCTGCACTTTTGGTCATCGTTTGCATTTGCCCAAACCACATGCCAGGACAGCTCATAACCTTGACAGACCGTTGGTGTGTAGGTAAGTGCTGTGTTGTCAAGAGGTTCTATCTTTCGCATGATGTTGTTCAGATAAGTGTTCTTTAATGAGACAGTCACTGCAAACGGGTGGTGGTGGGATATTGATAGTGTGCAAATAAAAGCTGCCTGTAGCTCCTGTCAAGTCACTTGCCCTCGACTAAGTACCTGGGAGGAACTTGTTCAGTGTTTCACTGTGATAAACGTCATCGTTTTTCCCCTCGTTTTAAAACTGCATTAAGCAAAACCTCCGGTGCCTCAGGTCACCGTAAGGGGCCTTCGGTTTGGTTTTTGTTCGGATGAGGCAAGTTCCAAAGTTCTTGAGACAAAAGAATAATTTTTTTTAAGAAAAAAACAACCAATAGAAAATTTTATTTGAAGCAAAGCTCTCACAACCGGAATCGACTTGCTCTAATTGGAATGGGTTAAAATTAAGCAGCACATGATTGGGAAGTTACCGCGTTCAAAGGGAGGAGGAAAAAAAAAAGCGAGTTATTCGACTTCAGCGACAACCATGTCACGGGCGACTTGAAATGCGGCGATCAGTGAGCCGAGCTGGATTTTCTCACTCGTGCCAGCAGCCAGCCTGTACCTACGGAAGCAGGAAAAAGTCACTCAGTCACACCCCCAGCTCCAAACATAATGTCATCATCCTTCCGTTTGATATAGACGTCTCATTGCGCCGTTGAGACGTCCCAAAGCGCTTCACAGAATATATTGTAAAGTCAACTGACTGTATTTTGTGGGTGAAACTCATCCAGAAATAACTTGCCTGTCAGACACACGTTAAGTGAACATGATAAACAGAGGCCACACATTAAAGCCAAACATTGCTGGTCATTTGTTCACTGCGCATCTCTTTTCCCCTCTGCTCGTGGTACTCTTCAAGGTTTAGCTGTGCTTTTAGTGAAGATATAAGGGCAGCACATTACAACACTAAAATCTTTGTTTCGGCTGGTGTTGGGTCAGTGCTGGAGCGGCAGGAGTTTGGAGCGTGCAGGAGGTTCAGAGAGAGAGAGAGTGGCAGGACCACTGATGATTGCAATCAGTCTGCCAAATGCACAGTTGTTTCTGCACTTAGAAGGGGAGCTATAAATCTACACAAGCTGAGCATGGTAAACTTCTCACCTTAGCAAAATGCAGACGCCAACGTAAGCTCACGGAGCGGGCATGTGCGTGTGCTGCTTTAATACGACTGCAAGATCTGAGCGAGGGCAGGTGCTTTAATAATAATAATAATCCTTGCATTTGATATAACGCTTTTCACATCTTCTAGATGTCTCAAAGCGCTTCGCAGAATATGCCGTAAAGTGAATTGACCGTATATTTGCGGGCGAAACGCGGCAGCCAATTGCGCACAGCAGTGTCCCAAAAACAGCCTTGGATTGAAAATGACCAATTTATTGTTGTTTTGTTTTGGAGGGATTATTTTTAGGCGTGTGGAGTAAGGAAACTTGGTTTCGCCCTGCCTGGGATTGAACCCAGGTGTCTTGCTTGCAAGGCGAGTGCTCTAACCACTGAGCTACAGGACTCTGGGATGTCTAACCAACACGGTGGGTAAACAGGGGTAAGCCAGGGCAATACACGCTAGGCTCCAGTCAGTACACTTTACAGTAAATCTCAGTAAAGTGCTTTGAGATGTCCTCCTGATGTGAAAGGCACTATTGCCAAATATGGGAAGGGTCATTATATATCAAAAAGCTGATTGTTGACCAGGTATCCTACAGATGCATTTAACACTTTGGAGTCGCTTTCTGGGGATAATAATCCTTTCCAAAAAAAAACTCAATCGACGACTGTTTATGGGACACTGCTGTGCGCAATTGGCTGCTGAGTTTCGCCCACCAAATATACAGACAATCCACTTTACAGTATATTCTGTGAAGCACTTTGCGACGTCTCAACGACGTGATAAGATGCTGTATCAAATGCAAGGATTATTATTATTGTAGTTTTCTGCGATCTATACTACTCAGTAATCAGGAATGCTTCACTAGGCAGTGTGTGGTATTAAAGCACTTAACATTTACGGAGGCAGCTCTCCTCTGGGCTGTTTGTTTTACATTTAACACGCTGTCCGACCATTTCAGAGGGAGGAATGTTTGAAGAGATGGCACAGGTGGTAATTCCACCTTTGGGGTTTTCCGTGACAATTAACAGTCCCAATTTAACCACAGAAACCGCCTGTTCAAAGCAGGTCAATTGTAAATTGTGTTGAAAAAGTTTCCTAAAATTTCAGTGCTGAGTTAGTTTCAGTTAAAGGTTGTGGATGAGAATTTCAACAACGCAGCAGGGATAATCCAGGACTTGCCTACTAAATAATGCTAATAATACTAGTCATTATATTTGATTCAGGGTCTTATCACGTCGTTGAGAAGTCTCAAAGTGCTTCACAGAATATACCGTAAAGTGGATTGACTGTATTTTGTGAACAAAAGTACTTACTCAAGTAGGTACATGATAAAAAGTGACCAGAAAACAAGGTCTTCCACTTGGGGCTACTTTTTATTTCCTTTTGGGGTGAGATGGGGTATTGTAACAGGTTACCATAGTGGAAGCGACTTGATAGCAGCCTCGCATGTTACGTGTGGGACAAGTGACAAAAACAATTGCAGCAGGGTAATTTTAAGAGTCAAATCTCTCAATCTCTGACCTTTAAAATCTGCAGATTTAGAACCGCTACATAACGCTCACATTTCCTTCAGGTGGTGAATTTTGATCAATATTATTCAGGGGTTTTTCCCCCCCCAACACCTTTACCCTTTTTTGGGGGGAGGGGGGGTGCAGTTAGATGTCTGACACATGCGGAAACCCATCACCGAGTATCCGAACCCAAGATGAGAATTCCATGCATCCCACCTACACGTGGAAATCTCAGCGATAAGATTGTTGGAATGGAGTGCGCTCTCTCTCTGGAGCGACGCCCCCTGCTTACCTAATTCTGGAAAGTATTAAGCGCAGGTTGGCAAGAGCCAAGGCTTGGGGGGATCCCAGAGTGTGCGTTGGGGTAACTGCTGGAGTCTAACCAGCTAAAACCACATAGACAGTAAGGGGCAATGGACTATATGGCCAGTGAAGGAGCACCACATTTGACATGATCCTGGTCCTATCTTAAGTCAAGGTCATTAAATAGCAATCTAGTCGTGGGTAAATGCTATTCTCTTCCACCTGCCCCAGCTACCGCTTCAATAGGTGTTAAGTATTATGCAAGCGACACCTTTTATTATTACGTTGTGGTGCAGTGAGGAGGGAGAGAGGGGAGAAATCGAGAGGATGGATTGCTGGAACCATTTGATCTTTTTCGTCTAATAATACATCAGCTCATTAACTTCCAGCCTGCAGTCGCACCCCTAAAATCTCGGTGAAATTCACAGTAGTGGCTGATGCGCTTAAAACATTTCCGTTGCATTTCACAGTATTTCTGTCCCGTTACTTACCTCCTCCCTTTAGCACCACATTATTCCCGTGCGATGTACCCTCTTTACTCCAAAGGCATTGCACATAACGCTCAAAGGAGTTCCGACCCACATGACAACAGCACATGCTTTTAAAACATTCTTAGGTGACAGATTCTCTCTCTCTCTCTTACACACACACTCAGGTGCCAGATATACACACACATTCTCAGGTGTTAACTGCCAGCCTGCAGACACATGACCCAAATCTCGTTGAAACTTACAGCTGTTGTTGATGCACTTCAAATTTTAAAACGCGTCAACAAAGTGCATCAAAATGAAAAAAAAAATGGTCGTTCACTTCACGGCTGTTTGTGGGACGTCGCTGCGTGCAAACTGGCTGCTGCGCTTCACCCACAAAACGCACGTCCAGAATCACTATATAGTACGTCCCGTGAACCGCTTTGAGACGTCGCAGCGACATGATAAGGTGCTGTATGAAATGCAAGGATTATAATAGATCCATACAGAAACTCGCATGCTCGGGTGACAGATACACACACACAGTAATGCACAAGACTATTAAATCAGCACTTTTAAATATTAAGTCACACTTACTCGATATCTGCCATCTTGATCAATAAATGGATGCGAACTGTAGGCGGGAAATCAACTGGTGGGGGAAAACAGAATGTACATTTTTATAACCGAATACCACACTTATTACAATGATGACTAGATCGTAGTGCAGTCAGTCACCAGGCTTGTGTGTTGCACTGATATCAATACCAGATAGAGACCGTTGCGGTTTCCATAACATCACGGTGGTGCCTTGTGGTTTCCCTGAGCGTTTGAGCTAAAGCAGTTGCTGTAAACTTTGTGTCGCTACTCATCTAATGCGACGCACTTGAAATACATTACTTCCAAACTGCTCTCACTTTCTACTACCACCACCACCAATGACAGATGTGGCAAATTAACGGGCTGGCGAATCTTATATACGATCTAAGAAAACACTCTCTTGTGACTAATTCATATAGTGATGAATACCAAATTATATTCAAAAAGAAGTTTGTCTCCCCACCCCACCATTGATATCCTGGCCAACAATCCTCCAGATAAAACTGGTTGTTCCACATCATGGCAGGATTCTATTCTATAAACTTCCACTGTTAATTTCTACAACCAGAACTATTTTGTCTTCGCCAAGAGGTCATATCGTTCATATCTGCAGCTTTCCGCACAGCCCAAAAGCAACAAGTAAGTAATGTACTGGAAAATGAGTTTGTTACTGAAATGTCCCCTCCTTTTAAAGAGAGCATTTCTACACTTTGAAGATCAATCACTCATAACGTGCTTGCTATTTTCACCGGTGAGAGGAATGAATCAATCACTATAGAGGACACGGATCTAAGATTGTCACATGAGGAAAGGGAAGCTTAGGTGAAATGTTCTGACACAGAGAATTGCCCTGCCATGTAAGCTGGTAAAGGAACAGTCCATTGTGGGTTTCAAGCGGGAAGCAGATACGTACGTATATGAAGACAGAGCCTGATGGAACATGGGGATAGGGCAGGGCAGTGAGATTGAATGTACGCCTTGCTTTGAGAGCCGGCGCAGACTCGATAGGCCGAATGGCAACCTTCTGCGCTATGAATTTCTGTGACTCTAGACTAGTTTAAGAAAATATATTTTTACGCTCAGTGCTCGGATAACTTTCCAAAAGAACGAGGACACTTTTCTCTTTCCTGTGACATGGTCTAAACATAAATGTCTGAGGTGGATAGATTTTTTTTTAGGTCAGGGATACGGGGCAAGGGCAGGTAATTGGATTTGAGGTACAGATCAGCCATGACCTTATAGAATGGCGGAACAGGCTCGAGGGGCTGATTGGCCTCCTCCTGTTTCTATGTGAATGTGGAAAGCGGCTGCAATCGGGGAAAATATCAATACGTAGCAAACAGAAGCAAAATACCTGCAGCGGTCTGCAGAGTTGATGTAAAAGTCTGTTGTTCACAGAGAATAGATTCAAGAGTAGGTAGACGGATCGGGGGGGGGCGGGGAGAATATTCCTAAGAGAAACTGGGACGTGGGACATGGCAAAGCTGCAATTTCCACAGGATACTCTCAAACACCATCGATTGCACATCATTGCAAAAAAACCTGATGATTGATTGCGTTCAAATCGCTCACAACAATGCCGGTTTGCGAGTCAGAGAGAGAGAGAGAGAGAGAGAGGGAGAGAGCGCCTACATTTTAATGACTTGCTGGGTCAACCCCCGTCAGGTCCCAGGCTCGGGAAGCCACGAAGCAGCGCCTCCTACAAGGCAACACCGCGTTGTTATGGAAACCGCGAACGGTCTCCAGGGAGACGAGAGCGAGAAACCATCCAGCATCGCCAGGCAGATGGTGTCAGTTTCAGGCCCTGGACTCTGCTGAGCATTTGAATGCACGTACGTACAGCTGTTAACAAAGCTATCAACCGCACTGTGTGCTGAAGGCCCCCTTGAGGTTTCCACCCAAACATCTCTTCGCTGATCTGCAGCAAAGTGAAATGCCCGCCTCGCGCAACGGTCACAACAACTTGTGTTGGCGTCGCGCCCTTCGTGCGGGGCAGCCTCTCGGGGCAGAGTGGCGGAGCCCGACCCCCGAGCTGGGGGTGGAGAGGAGGTGGCTGTGAGCACGGTCGAAGAGGAAGGTCTTCGGCCGTGATCTAAAAGAGGGGAAGGGTGGGGGAAAAAGTGGTGGGGGTTGAGGGGGAGATCAGCTCTATTCACTGACCTATTAAAAAATAATAATCCTTGTATTTGAGAACAGGGCCAAAAATGTCACAGGCAATTGCTTTCAAGGTGTAGTGATGTATAATTTCGCCCATAAACTATACAATTAATTTGCTTTGCAGTATATTCTGTAAAGCGCTTTGAGATGTTGTCGACCTGATAAGGTGCTGTATCATACGCACAAATTATTATATTATCATTTCTACGTAAAGGTGGAAGCCTTTATTGGAAGCCAATTTTACAGACAGGAAGTCCCACATGAAGCGAACGACTAATTTTATCTGAGAGATTGTTCTTCTTCAGTTTTGGATTAGTGCCAAGGGACCTTTCATGCAACAGGCAGACGGTATAAACGTCTCGTTTCCAAAGCTGCGGAGCAATTTTCACAGGCCTGTGTCTCTGCCGCAATTTGAGTTCTTAGATAAAAGCAAATCAAGCCATTTCGCCCACAAAATACACAGTCAAATCACTTTAAAATATATGCTGTGAAGCGCTTTGTGACATCTTAACGTGATAATCAAATGCAAGGATTACTATTATTACAATACAAAATTTGTATAACGCCTTTCACGTCGGGAGGAAGTCCTAAGGCACAATTATTATTATTACGTTGAACAGACAGCAACTTGATGGTGTTACCCGGAATCTACACCGCTAAGACTTTGTACAAAGATGTGAAAAAAGTCAAAAAGTCAAAGATTCAATCTGAATATCACACTGCTCGTGGTTCTTGGCTTTAAAATTATGGAATCAAGTTAATAGCTTTCCAGAGCACACTTTTTTGAGAAAAGAAAAATCTTCTATTGAAATCGAGACCAAAACAACACGTAGTGCTCCAGATGTAATCTCAGCGAGGCTACGTACAATTTTAATATGTCACTGCAAGATTTTTTTTTGAGGAAACAGACAGACAAACTTTGTGTTGAAAATATTCCTCTCACTTATCCATATTGGCTTTAAATATTTCCTGCTGATCGCTCTTGAAATGTGTCGCAGTAAGAAAAAAAATGACAGAGCGAGTCTTCACATTTTCGCGCTAATGCAAATACCCTGTGAAGGATAAATCCACTTAGACCCACTTACCTCTGTGTACAAAAGTGTGAATCTCAGTCAGAATGTCGTGCAGTGCTAATCCCTTTAATGTCTTTAACTCCATGATATCTGGACAGAAAGTTAAGGGCACTTTGAAAACCCTGAAAGGTTCATTACACAAGGTTTTGCTCGACCCAGGAATCGAACCCGGGTCCTCTCGCTTGCGAGCCGGGCGTGCTAACCACTACCCTACAGGACTCTTCAATTCCAAAGGATACTCTTGTACGCGGTGGTGAAATCCTTGTTTAGCATCCAGTCAAGGATATTCGCGATGTCTGATTTCAGTGGGTGCCCAGTACACCTGTACACTGTATCCTCCGTCACTCTGTCGTACGCCATGTTTGTGCTCTGTTACGATTTCAGAAATCGAGGTTAGTTTCAGTGACGGCAAAAAAGGAAGAGTTGCGAATATCGATTCCCGTGGATAGTAACAACAGCAGCAACAACAACAAAATGACATGTGTATAGCGCCTTTCACGCCGGGAGGACGTCCCAAGGCGCTGGACAACTCAGCTCAGCTGACCTGCAAAATGTTCAAAGATCGACGCATGTCCCCGTTGGAAAGGGTCACAATCGCTTTCAGTCCATCCGGAGTGATGTCCACACTACAAATGACAGGGCACGCCATCACTCATCACTCTTTGCATCGAGGTAAACAGCCGTCAACACACACACACACACTCTCTCTCTCTGAACCAGAAAACTCTGGGAGCTATTCTCAGCCGTTCCCCAAGCTTCAAAATAAGATCCAACTGAACGCTGTCTGAAACTTCAGCTCTTTGCATAACTTTTTTTTGTGATACCTATTTTGCTGTGTATTACTTGACAGCAGTGAGCAATGTACAAGGTTTTAGTTTTCCTGTGTAAACTTGATCCTCAATAATAAGTGAAATATCAATTTAGGGTAGGCTTCATTACACTACTCGTTAAAAGGTCCACAGATAATATCCACCACTATCCCTCCTGCAACAACCACTACCCTTCGCACACTACTATTATAAAATGCTCCAGGCATTTTAGTGCTCAACTCAATTGGTTGAAGAGTGGGGAAACAAATAAGGGAAGAGAATTTTCTTAACCCCCCCCCACCCCAACATTAACCTAACCACCATAGTTCAGACACAAACTCAGGTAAGACACCGAGTCTCACACCACAGTGTCAGACAAGAAGTTTACAATGACTCAATAACACACTGCACTAGGGAAATGATGACAACACAACTAGATTTTTATTGTCCATCCCCTACCCCCACCGAATCCTCTAATGTTTTAAATCTGTTTGAAAGACTCACTTTTCCTGTTGGATGACATACTCCAGCCTCGGAATCATCTGTTCGGGAGCCAGTGGTCCGAATCGGAACCTGGTGCATCGAGATTGCAGAGCCGGGATGATCTTTGACAGGTAGTTGCAAATCAGGCAAAACCTGGTGTTTTCTGTAAATTTCTCAATAACTGCAACAACAATAAACAGAGCATTATTTTCCGGGGGGGGGAGAGGAACAATAACCGCATGCGGTCAGGAGTGCGGACGTGCAGTCAGCGTTTACGCTAAACCATAAGAACATAAGAATTAGGAGCAGGCCAATCGGCCCTTTGAGCCTGCCCCGCCATTTGATAAGATCATGGCTGGTCTTCAGACCTAACTCTAACTGCCTGCCCTATCCCCATATCCCCTAACCCCTCTATTTTTAAAAAATCTATCAGTCAAACCAGCCTACCTCTTTTTTTCTCCGCGATCGCAGGTGCATTTAAACGTTCCTGAAAGAAATATTATTTTCGACGTCTTCTAAAAACCGACTGTCGTTTTAAAATTCGACAGAATAAATATGGCACTCAATGATCACAGCTTTTTTGAAGAGTCAATTTTCACATGATTAAATGCAAATGCGGCGGTGATGAAGGTTGATCGGAAAAAAAAACACAGCCCGTTAAACAGTCGTATTATGCACATTTTCAATGTGCTATTTGTGTACCCCATGAAGGAGTACACTGTTTAATTGAAAGAGGCTAGGATCCATTCCAAGAATGCACTACTTGCAAAGAACGTATTCCGTAGAGAGGGAGCACAGCACACTGGTGTCACAGGGAAGGCAGTAAGAAACTACATCCAATCCAATTCAGCAGGAGCGCATCCGATAATAATAAAATTAATAACCCTCACATTTGATATAGTGCCTTATTACGTCGTTGAGTGTACAGTATGCAGAATATACTGTAAAGTGAATTGACTGTATATCTTTGTGGGAAAAACACAGCAGCCAATTGCGCACAGCATTGCCCCACAAACAGTCAACGGGAGAAACAAGCAAACCTGGTTAGCTCAAAAAATGGGATCTAGTATTTTTCCACCCTGTTGGTCAGGGAGTGGCATGAGCCGGGGTGAGGGCCGAGGCGGGAAAGGGGTCAATGAAAATAAGAATAAAACAAAAAACAAATCTTTGACTAGCCCTTGAATAGGGAAAGAATTACACAGCACTTTACAGCACACACCAGAAAAAAGCCATTCTGCTCAGCCATGCTGGTGTTTATACTCCATACGATCCTCCTAAACCCCTCTCTGAACACAATAGAGGAGTCTATTACACGCAGGTCTGTAAGCTTAGTCGGTTCAGAAGCAGTGACTGTGCAGTTGCACACGACTATATCGTGAGTGTTATGAACTCGCTGCTTTTGTAAGTTCACCCTGAGGTTGCTGAAGCAATACAAAGTTAAAAAGCCTCTGATTTCTATTGAGTAGCTCTTTATCTGCCAACTACTGGCTCCTTGAGAGAAGTGCCAAACCTACGTCAGAGCAACAATAGTGTTTGACCACATATGCAAATTAAACGAACGAAAAAAAAAAGAAGTGGGAACAGTTTAACCTTTAAACAGTAAGTATCATGACATGCAAACTCCTTACCCCGTCTGAGGGCATTCTGAGCATCTTGAGTCATTGCGTCTGCCTCATCCAGGATAACAAGCTTACAACCTTTCCTGGAAAAGAACAACAATCATTGGTTTAACAATACGTCACGTTAAGGTGATTTCATGCAAATACAGGAATACAGAGTATAGCTGCTGTGCTCCCGGCTTAGGCCACAGTTCAGGCCGATTTGAAACCCTGCACATTCCGCAATGAGTAAAACCAAATAAAATGGTACTTACTTGAAAATTGTTCTTGTGCTTGCAAAACTCAGAACCGGTCCACGCACTGTGTTAATGCCTCGGTCATCAGATGCATTCAGCTGCACGGAAAGTTATCACTGTAAGACCTCGGTTCACAAATAGCTCGACTCTGACATTCTAAGTTAGTCCATTATTATATACTGTAATAAGCAGTGTTTATTTATAGTTCCTCGGACGTCCTGCCGATGTGAAAGGCACAATATAAATATGATTTGATGTTGTTGTTGTTATTTCAACAAACATAATGGTGGCAGGATACCGTACAGTAGAACCCACCGTGTAACGTGCTTTGTTATAACCGTGGGTTCGCTTGAGGTGTGGAGCCGAGCACTGAGTTATGTTTAGTTGATTGCGCCCTGTAATAAGGGTGGTTGGAGATGTGTGGACCCCAACTACAGGGTTCTACTGTATTAATACTGTACACTAATATTTGGATCCATCTTCCTTTCCCAAATGAGATGTCATTATGACCAATCTGTATTTTTACTCTCGCAATTTTATACCCGAAGTAAAGGGCAAAGCTGCACAGTTCTACTGAAGAGAAATCTACAGATGTGTCATCCATCTACACACTAAAGCTTTAGCTACTACACATACTGTAAACCTCACACAAGACGTATCAGTTGGGACCATACATTTGATATGACTCATGCAAAGTATGAATTATGTGAAACTTATTAATAAGAAGAAATTCAACAAGCCTTGGGCAGATGCACTACTTAGGCGATTATACGATTTATACAGATCAGACTTACTATACAAATAAGCCATGTTATGGACAGCACCTATTTCAGCTAAATCTGTTGCTATCAGATTGTTTTTTTGTGGATTAAGCAACAAAGCCCACTCATTTAACTGTCTCCTGTATTAATAATAATATTTGCATTTGATTTAACGCCTTGTCATGTCACCGAGACATCTCAAAGTGCTTCACATGATATACTGTAAACTGAATTATGTGTATATTTTGTGGGGGGGCGAAAGGAGTTATATAGATCCTAACCCTAATCAATGTTAATCAATGGCTTCTTGGCTTACACCAGCTTGTTGGGAATGTTACTATCTGGGCAATGCATGTAGCAGGTCATTTTGGCAGGGATGTTATTTTCAAGATCTTTCTCTTCTGCGACTAAAGGGAAGCCTATGAGAGAGCAGAACGAAAGGACAGTTTGGTTTTGTGAAAGATTGCTAAAATTAAGTGGGATAACTTCCTCTGGTTTTCAGCTGAAAATAACCATTGACGAAGGAACATGAAATGTGCAGAAAACTGAAACAAACCTTGGATTGGTGGACAAGAGTAGAAACAGTTTGAACAGTTCAAGAGATGATTAAAAATTGATGCACAAAGCCTCAAAATATCAGCAATCCTGGACAAATAGTCATCTTATTGACGTAAAAAGATCACGTCTAACAATTCATAAAAAGGTAAGTTTACAACCTGGTATCCCTCAACCTAAGTTGACCCTCAAACGTTAACCCTTTGACTGCTGGATACATTCAGTTTCTCAGGTATCATGAAAGCAAATCCAGTTGTTACCTCGAGAACCATGGAGTTGAACTCTTTGTCCTTATACAGTTGTTTGGCACAAGCCAATATAGTAGATGTCTTGCCAGTCCCTGGGGGTCCATAGAACAGCAGATGAGGGAGCCGGTCTTCACTGATAAACCGCTGAACTGAAATTCAAGGATGCTTTTTAAGTCTTTGTTCCTTTCGCTTTCCCAATACACTTTTGGGACTTTTACAATACAATCTTACATTTATTTATACAGTGCCTTTCCGGAGGACGTCCCAAGGCACTTAAATAGTTTTTTACCTGGAGGAGCACTCGAGGAACAACATTAAAGTGTTATTACCCTTGACAGCAAAGGGATTTTACTGGTAACTTTATAAAATAAAGAAGTGTCTGATGTCAAACGCTTTAAATGCATGTCTGACTGAGTCTGACTACACAAATGTCTTGCGTCTACCAATGCATTCAGAGAAAAAATATTGTCTGTCGTTCACTTCAATCCAGAATGGTAAGCTTTATTCTCTCCTCTTATCCTCAAGGCCCTTGACATTCTTCACCTGTTAGGTTCCAAAGGCAATAGGCAAACCTTGTCCAAAGTGTCCATACGCGGGGTTGAGCATGAGCCTTGGCAGATTATTTGACACCAGGCCAGATCCTGCCTCACTTGTTCACCCAACAAGGATGGCTGGATGAACGGGAATGAGAAAACCTTGGCTATTTTTTCTCCAATACACACAAGCAATGCAGATATGCCACCTGAAAACTGAAATGTCTATGATTCTATGGACTAATTCTGTGCTTCTATGGACCAGTTGGTAGCTCTTTCAAAGACCCTCCTTCTGTACTGTAAAATTCTATGATTCTTGGGCTGAAGACTTCTCACTTCAGTGAAAGGTGGTCAGAGTCAGATGTAGGGCCCTATATCTAATTCTAAAATTCTAACCACCTTTCGTTGAAGTGAGAACTCAATAAAAGGTCAGTAGTAGCACAGATATATACCATTTGCTAGCGTCAGATGTATCACTAGACGATGGTCAGACTCTATATTGAATCACACTTCAGTTACAGTTATAATCAGAAGTCTATTTAACTTCCAGGCCAGCCAGAGGGCAACTTGTAGCATAAATACTTGGTTGAATAAAATGAGTCATCATTAGTTATTATTTAAAATCTTCTTACCCCCTAACTCCTTTCCATTACACACACAAGATGAAAAGGTAAATTCCATGTGTTAAGGGTCTGTAGGAGTGAACATACTTGTTTATTCCTAGCCAGCCAGCTGCTAATTTCATTAGCTTCTTGATTTAAGGGATAAAGAAAGTCTTTGACCTTCAATGTACTTTACAGCAATATTACTTCTCTGTATAGTTTCTCTGCTGAAATAGTTATTTCCCCATTACCATTCCTCTGAGAAAAGCAATAATCTAGGATTCTATTAAGCTTTCTTCTCAGCTTTTCTCACCTTCAAAAATTACCCACATTAATCCCTAAATCTGAATGTATAGCTTTGCTTTTCTGCATTAAATTTCATAAGCCATCTCTCTGCCCAATCTACTAGTCTGTGTCCTATTCCAGTTGGTTACAATCATCTTCAATGTCAGTTACATTCCCTAATTTCCTATATATTCCCAAGAATTGCTGGATAATCAGGAATGAGAACTTTGACAAATGTTTCTGCTCCTCCTACAGTGATCACCAAACGAGCAACACCTTTGTATTATCGGATAACGTGGAAATTGTACCCCTTTTCCAGAATTCAGATTATTTATTTCCGTATAGAGAGAGAAAGCGAGAAAGAAATGCAGTAACCCTAACACAGAACTTTGGGAACACCACTACTAACAGCTCTCCATTTCAAATCACCTGCTCCAATTTTCAGTTTCCTATCCTTTAGCCTACTTTTTTTCTATCCATGCTGCTCCCTTTCCATTAGTAAGGACTCTATATAATTGCAAGTTGTTCTTCCCTGTTAAACACTCTTGAGACGCTGCCCTTCGTGAAGGGTGCTGTATAAATGCAAGCTGATTCTGCTAATGTACTATGCACCTTAATTTTTTTTAAACAAACCTTTTACGTAGCACTTATCAAAGTCAAAAGCCTCCTGAAAATAGCCAAGTTTCTATTTTAAATCTTGGGACAATCACCTCTCGCGACAAAAGCTCGTGAAAAGCAGACCAAAAAAAAACATGTACACTGTAACGGCAACTTACTTGTGCTAAGAATGTCTTGATGGGAAATCAGATCATTCAGGGTTTCAGGCCGGTACTTTTCCACCCTGAAAACACACAGATAGCATTTTTCATTTTATTTTTGTTTTTAGTAAAATCAGTTCCCAAACTTATATGGTTCTAAACTACCAGGATGGGAAATGAAGATCCGTGATTTCAGACGCCTACAACATCTGTTAACCAGCACTTTTATTTGAATAACGGAATTTCTATTTTTATAGAAAAAAATAACAATCCACGCTTGAAAGTACTGTAATTGCAAAGCAGTAATCTTACAGTTTTGTGATTCCAATCACACCTCAAAAGTGCAATAGTGAAAATCAAGGCGTTTAGAACTGGAACCTTATCCTGTGATTAGACAAAGGCCCTGCGAAACCTTACGGCAAATGTCCTTATTCCACACAGCTCTGTTAACCTAGCAATGAGTAGGAACCTGGTTGTTAGTCGATTGACGGATTATTTTCTGGGGGGTAATAATCTCTTCAAAAAAAATAGTAAGAATAATTTGGTCGCTCAATCCACGGCTGTTTGTGGGACACTATGGCGCGCAATTGCTTGCCGCGTTTCGCCCACAAAATATACAGTCAATTTACAATATATTCTGTGAAGCGTGTCGAGAAGTCTCGAAGACATGATAAGGCGCTATATCAAATGCAAGGATTATTTATTAATATAAATTTGCTCCCTGATTATTGGTCATTATTGGATAAACTGTATCCTGCACTGTTTTCTTGTTTGGTTTCTGCCAGTGCAAGAGCCAGCTGCTTGTATGCTACGCATTCTTGATTCACAAGAACATTCTTACTAACAGACTAACAATCACAAGGATATCATTGCACGCTTATCTGCTGCCAATTAACAGAAAATTCTGCATCGACTCTATTATGCATATGGTACGGTATTTTATCACCATTCTAATAACCAGATATAAATTGTGCTTGAATATTAGCAAGCGCCCCATTACCAATTAAGCAACCACACAGAAGACCTAGATTTGACAAAATGGCAGTCGCTTCAGCGTATTCTAGATACCAAACTGACCACTTGTTCTCCTCGCTCTTTCCCCTTGCCTTCTTCAAGACCCATCTCAAAACACTCCTCTTCGATCACCTCCCTTCCCCTCCAGCCCTCCACCCTCCTCAACCCCCAGCTCGGGTCCGAAACACTGATTGTCCAGTGCCTTGGGATGTCCTTCCGACGTGAACGGCGCTATAAAAATGCAATTTTCCTGTTGTTGAAGGTGGAAACCGACAGGTAATTGCTAAACACTTGTCAGATGCGTGACCTTCCTCCTTCGGGGCTGGGTGAGGGGAGGAGGAGGAGAGGGAGAATGATGAGGGAGTGAACGGTAAACAATATGAGGCAATTGTTGATTTGCTGCTAAAACTTCGATTCTGTATACCAAGTGATCTCCCCAACCCACTGCTACTCTCCTGTTCCATGACAAACTAACGTACAGAGAACACAACTGATAGGATGCACAAATGCTCTGCTGAAAAGTAGCCCAACAACTCTGAACCTCATTTGAGTTCAGATGCTCAGAAGTCATAGGGAAGGGCCTTCTTTGTCCAAACCAATCTTGTGATTCTCATCAGGCAGCTTGAAAGGTTAAAATATGAAGCTCTGCGCTCTCAATAGTTACCAGTAACACTGTCGACAAACATATTGTCTTGAGAAACAAAGATGCACAACACCTGCTGTTCAAATCCCTTGCTTTCATTTCCACAACATCAATATTTATATTATGTTGTAATGTGGAAGTTAGAATTATAAAAGGCATTAAAAAGAAGTCAGATTGCAATGAAACCTGATCTTTATTGTGGCAGAACGTCCCATAATATCATGGCATCAATAAAAGTGTAACCTTTAACCGTCTGTTACAACAAACCTTGCACTTATCCAGCACTTCTTTTTTACATTGATTAACGCCTCAAGCACTTATCAGAGATAAAGTGGGAGTCCAAATTCCCACTCTATCTCTGTATGTTGGGTGGGGGTTTGACTGAAGGCGCATTCAAAGATGTAGGTTTTCAAAAGGGTTTAGTATGAAGAAAGAGAGAGAGAGAGGGAACAAGATAGAGGGATTTGAGGAAAGAGTTTGAAAGCCTGATAACAGCGCTCGAAAGCTCAGCCAACGGTGGCGACGGTGTGTGTACATCGTAATGTAACACCATGTTATTCACAGAAGTGAGTTACATCACACAAACGTTTACTTTGTGTACCTGTATTTCAGCAGGTGGAGGGAAACTGCTGTATCAAACATACCGCACAAACACTTCAAAAACAGCATAATAAGCAGATTTAATATTCAGCAGCACAGTTGGTTTTTCCCCAAACAGACTGGATCCGCTTCGCAACCAAGAAACTCTCGCCAAGTGCCCCACAAGCCTAAGTGTTAGTCTAACCTTCATCTTCGACCGTGCTTACGACCACCTCCCCGCGCTTCCCCGCCCCAACCACCCTCAGCTCGGAGTCAGGCTCCGCCACTGTTAAGCGCTCTGAGGCACTACTCTGCGAGGATGACACTGTATATAAGTGCAAGTTGTGGTGGTGGTTGTAGTTGGAGCAGGTGACGATGCAGCAGATTGCAGGTCATGGGCAAGACTCTTAAGGGTCAGCCCCAGGCACAGGGCACCCCCTCCAGCTCTTACACCCCCCCATCCCCAACACTTATCCCCCCCCAGCTCTTACACCCCCCCCCATCCCCAGCTCTTACACCCCCCCATCCCCAACACTTACTCCCCCACCCCCAGCTCTTACACCATTCCCCATCCCCAACACTTACCCCCCCCAGTTCTTACACACCCCATCCCCAACACTTACCTCCCCAGCTTACACACTCCCCATCCCCAGCTCTTACACCCCCCCTTCCCCAACACTTATACCCCCCCACCGCCAGCTCTTACAACCCCCCCATCCCCAACACTTACCTCCCCAGCTTACACCCCCCCCACCCCCAGCTCTTACACCTCAACTTCCCCAACACTTACACCCCCCCATCCCCAACACTTACACCCCCCCACCCCCAGCTCTTACACCTCAACTTCCCCAACACTTACACCCCCCATCCCCAACACTTACACCCCCCCACCCCCAGCTCTTACACCTCAACTTCCCCAACACTTACACCCCCCATCCCCAACACTTACACCCCCCCACCCCCAGCTCTTACACCCCCCCATCCCCAACACTTACACCCCCCATCCCCAACACTTACACCCCCCCACCCCCAGCTCTTACACCTCAACTTCCCCAACACTTACACCCCCCATCCCCAACACTTACACCCCCCACCCCCAGCTCTTACACCCCCCCATCCCCAACACTTACACCCCCCACCCCAGCTCTTACACCCCCCACCTCCAGCTCTTACGTCCCCCCCATCCCCAACACTGACACCCCCACCCCCAGCTCTTACACCCCCCCACCCACAGCTCTTACACCCCCCCCCACCCCCAGCTCTTACACCCCCCCACCCCCAGCTCTTACACCCCCCCCCAGCTCTTACCCCCACACACATAAACACTACTCTTTCTCTGCCCCCCCCCCCCGCCAAATCACACTAATCTTTCTCCCCCCCCCAAAAAAAACACACACACTCTCTCCCCCCACCCATCCCATACACACACAACTCTCTTACTCCCCCCCCCCACAAATAACAACCCGGACCCCATCACCACCTCCTCCAGGAGCCGCCCTCCTGTCCCCGGGTGCGCTCCGTACCCGAGCCCGGGGCTCCTGCTGCCCAAGGCCTCCCCAGCTCACACAGCTTGGGGTGGGGGTGGGGGGGGAGCAGCCTCGGGAGGCCCTTGGCCCCCGCTTCACTCACTTGTTGGAAGAAAGTGTGTGCGTGTGTGTGTACGGGGGAGGGGGGGTATGTGGGGGGGGTTGTGTGTGTGTGTGGGGGGGGGGTTGTGTGGGGGGGCTCTGTGTGGAGGGGAGGTGTGTGTGGGGGGGCTCTGTGTGGGGGGGGGAGGTGTGTGTGGGGGGGCTCTGTGTGGGGGGGGGGAGGTGTGTGTGGGGGGGCTCTGTGTGGGGGGGGAGGTGTGTGTGGGGGGGCTCTGTGTGGGGGGAGGTGTGTGTGGGGGGGCTCTGTGTGGGGGGGTGTATGTGGGGGGCTCTGTGTGTGTGGGGGGGGGCTCTGTGTGTGGGGGGGGCTCTGTATGTGGGGGGGCTCTGTGTGTGGGGGGGCTCTGTGTGTGGGGGGGCTCTGTGTGTGGGGGGTGTGAATGGGGGGGCTGTTTGTGGGGGGGGCTCTGTGTATGTGGGGGGGGCTCTGTGTGTGGGGGGGCTCTGTGTGTGGGGGAGGCTCTGTGTGTGTGGGGGAGCTCTGTGTGTGGGGGGGGCTCTGTGTGTGGGGGGGGCTCTGTGTGTGGGGGGGGGCTCTGTGTGTGGGGGGGGCTCTGTGTGTGGGGAGGCTCTGTGTGTGTGGGGGAGCTCTGTGTGTGGGGGGGACTCTGTGTGTGGGGGGGGCTCTGTGTGTGGGGGGGGGGCTCTGTATGTGGGGGGGGCTCTGTGTGTGGGGGGGCTCTGTGTGTGTGTGTGGGGGTGTGTGAATGGGGGGGCTCTGTTTGTGGGGGGGCTCTGTGTGTGGGGGGCTCTGTGTGTGGGGGGGGCTCTGTGTGTGGGGGCAGTGTGTGTGTGGGGGGCTCTGTGTGTGTGGGGGGGCTCTGTGTGTGGGGGGGGGCTCTGTGTGTGGGGGGGGCTCTGTGTGTGTGGGGGCTCTGTGTGTGTGGGGGGCTCTGTGTGTGGGGGGGCTCTGTGTGTGGGGGGCTGTGTGTGTGGGGGGGCTCTGTGTGTGGGGGGGCTCTGTGTGTGGGGGCTGTGTGTGTGGGGGCTCTGTGTGTGGGGGGGCTCTGTGTGTGTGGGGGGCTCTGTGTGTGGGGGGGGGGCTCTGTGTGTGGGGAGGCTCTGTGTGTGGGGGAGGCTCTGTGTGTGTGGGGGAGCTCTGTGTGTGGGGGGGGCTCTGTGTGTGGGGGGGGCTCTGTGTGTGGGGGGGGCTCTGTGTGTGGGGGGGGGCTCTGTGTGTGGGGGGGCTCTGTGTGTGGGGGGGGCTCTGTGTGTGGGGGGGGCTCTGTGTGGGGGGGTGTATGTGGGGGGCTCTGTGTGTGGGGGAGGCTCTGTGTGTGTGGGGGAGCTCTGTGTGTGGGGGGGGTGAGGGGGGGCTCTGTATGTGGGGGGGGCTCTGTGTGTGGGGGGGGGCTCTGTGTATGTGGGGGGGGGGGTGAGGGGGGGCTCTGTATGTGGGGGGGGGCTCTGTATGTGTGGGGGGGGCTCTGTGTGTGGGGGGGGGCTCTGTGTGTGGGGGGGGCTCTGTGTGTGTGGGGGGGGCAGTGTGTGTGGGGGGCTCTGTGTGTGGGGGGGGCTCTGTGTGTGTGGGGGGCAGTGTGTGTGGGGGGCTCTGTGTGTGGGGGGGGCTCTGTGTGTGGGGGGCTCTGTGTGTGTGGGGGCTCTGTGTGTGGGGGGGCTCTGTATGTGTGGGGGGGGGCTCTGTGTGGGGGGGCTCTGTGTGTGGGGGGGGCTCTGTATGTGTGTGGGGGGGTAACCTGACCCCCTGCCTTACCAGGGCAGGTTCCTGCTCCTCACTTCCCTCCCGGTCGCCATGGTGACCCCCACAGCGGCTTTGGCGCCAAATTACCAGCGTGGGCCTGAGATCTCGCGATACTTCCTCTCACCCCCTCCCCCCCATACACATGGATTATACATTGTGGGGGGGCGGGAATCGTGGGGGGTGTGTGTGGGGGGGGTGTTGTGTGGGGGGGGGGTTGTGTGGGGGGGGTTATTGTGTGTGGGGAGTGGGGTGTGTGTGTGGGGGGGTGTTGTGTGTGTGGGGGAGGTGTTGTGTGGGGGGGTGTTGTGTGTGTGTGGGTGTGTGTGTTGTGGGGTGTGTGTGTGTGGGGTGTTGTTGTGGGGGTGTTGTGTGGTGTGGGGGGGTGTTGTGTGTGGGGGGGTGTTGTGTGTGTGGGGGGTGTTGTGTGTGTGTGGGGGGTGTTGTGTGTGGGGGGTGTTGTGTGTGTGGGGAGGGTTGTGTGTGTGTGGAGGGTGTTGTGTGTGGGGGGTGTTGTGTGTGTGGGGGAGGGTTGTGTGTGTGTGGAGGGTGTTGTGTGGGGTGTGTGTGTGTGTGTGTGTGGGGTGTGTGTGTGTGTGTGGGGGGGTGTTGTGTGTGTGGGGGGTGTTGTGTGTGTGTGTGGGGGGTGTTTGTGTGTGTGTGGGGGGTTGTGTGTGGGGGGGTGTTGTGTGGGGGGGGGTGTTGTGTGGGGGTGTGTTGTGTGTGTGGGGGGTGTTGTGTGGGGGTGTGTTGTGTGTGTGGGGGGGTGTGTGGGGTGTGTTGTGTGTGTGGGGGGTGTGTGTGTGGGAGGGGTGTTGTGTGGGGGGTGTGTGTGGGGGTGTTGTGTGGGGGTGTGTTTGTGTGGGGGGTGTTGTGTGGGGGGGTGTTTGTGTGGGGGGGTGTTGTGTGTGGGGGGTGTTGTGTGTGTGGGGGGGTGTTGTGTGTGTGGGGGGGTGTTGTGTGTGTGGGGGGTGTTGTGTGGGGGGGTGTTGTGTGTGGGGGGGGTGTTGTGTGTGTGTGGGGAGGGGGTGTTGTGTGTGTGGGGGTTGTGTGTGTGGGGAGTGTGTTGTGTGTGGGGGGGGGTGTTGTGTGTGGGGGGGGTGTTGTGTGGGGTGTTGTGTGTGTGTGGGGGGGTGTGTGTGGGGGGTGTTGTGTGTGTGGGGGGGTGTTGTGTGTGTGGGGGAGGTGTTGTGTGGGGGGTGTTGTGTGGGGTGTGTGTGTGGGGGGTGTTGTGTGTGTGGGGGAGGGTTGTGTGTGTGTGGAGGGTGTTGTGTGTGGGGGGGGTTGTGTGTGGGGAGGGGTGGTGTGTGTGGGGGGTGCTGTGTGTGGGGGGGTGTTGTGGGGGGGTGTTGTGTGTGGGGGGGGGGTGTTGTGTGTGGGGGTGTGTGTGTGTGGGGAGGGGTGTTGTGTGTGTGTGTGGGGGGGTGCTGTGTGTGGGGGTGCTGTGTGTGGGGGGTGTTGTGTGTGTGGGGGGTGTTGTGTGGGGGGTGTTGTGTGTGTGGGGGGGGGTTGTGTGTGGGGGGGTGTTGTGTGTGTGGGGGGGTTGTGTGTGTGTGGGGGTGTTGTGTGTGGGGGGTGTGTGTATGTGGGGGTGTGTGTGTGTGGGGGGGGTGTTGTGTGTGTGTGTGGGGGGGTGTTGTGTGTGGGGGGTGCTGTGTGTGGGGGGTGTTGTTGTGTTGGGGGGTGTTGTGGGGGGTGTTGTGTGTGTGGGGGGGGTTGTGTGTGGGGGGGTGTTGTGTGTGTGGGGGAGGGTTGTGTGTGTGTGGAGGGTGTTGTGTGTGGGGGGGGTGTTGTGTGTGGGGTGTGTGTGTGTGGGGGGGGGTGTTGTGTGTGTGTGTGGGGGTGTGTGTGTGGGGGGGTGTTGTGTGGGGGTGTTGTGTGTGGGGGGGGGTGTTGTGTGGGGGGGGGGTTGTGTGTGTGTGTGGGGGTGTGTGTGTGGGGGGTGTGTGTGTGTGGGGGGGGGGGTGTGTGTGTGTGGGGGTGTGTGTGTGTGGGGGTGTTGTGTGTGGGGGGGGGTGTGTGTGTGTGTGGGGGGGGGGTGTTGTGTGTGGGGGGGGGTGAGGGGGGGCTCTGTATGTGGGGGGCGGGGGGCTCCGTTCAGGGCTCCGGCCTGCTTCACATTCCCCGCCTTGACCCCCCGCCTTGCCCGCCCCACCATTGGCAGGCGGACCTTCAGCCTCTCTGCCCCCACCCTCTGGAACTCCATTCCACAGTTCCTTTGCCTCATCCCATCGTCTCCTTCAAGAACCGTCTCAAGACCCTTCTCTTCAACCGCACCTTCGGTCATCTCCACCCTCCCTGCTCTCCTTCCTTCTTGATCCCAACCATCACCTTCGATGCGGATCCCTGACTGTCCAGTGCCTTGGGACCTCCTGACGTGAAAAGTGCTATACAAATGTAATTTGTTGTTAAGCCAGCCTTTGATTTAATAAATAATAATCCTTGCATTTGCTTTAGCGTCTTTGAGACGTCTGAAAGCGCTTCACAGAATATACTGTACAGTGAACTGACTATATTTTAATAATAATAATAATAATAATCCTTGCATTGTGTGGGCAAAACAACCAGTAAGACTATACCTAGCAGTAAGCAGGAACCCGGTTGTTAAGACGATTTGCGGATCGCTTTCCGAGGATAATAACCCCTTAAACAAAACATAATAATAATTTGATCATTCAGCCCGCGACCGTTTGTGGGACACCGCAGTGCGCAATTGGCTTGCCACGTTTCGCACAACATACACAGTCAACTCGCTTGACAGAAGAGCTTTGAAACGTCTCAACGATGCGATAAGGCGTTTTATCAAGTGCGAGGATTGTTATTATTAGTGGTCGTATGTAGCAGTGCGCAAAACACACAGCGGCTGGGCTTCGCGGTAAACCCCGCAAATCGCTTGGAGACGTCTCAACGATAAGCGATAAGACGCCGCTCGTCCGACTCAAAAGATTACGATCGACTCATCAATTATTATTACGATGATGATGATTGGGTGAGCGAGTGGCTGGGTGGAAAGAGAGAGAGAGAGATTTGAGCAGTAAACAAAACAACAACAACAAAAAAAACCAACACATTCAAAAGAAACCCCCCTCCCCACCCCCCCCCAAAAAAAAGTGTGTGGGGGGGGACGTGAAGAGGTGAAGTCAGAGCAGGAGAGGGAGGGTTTGTGATGGTTTATGGACCAGTCGTTTGGTGGATGATGCTAATGGCTTTAAAGGGATGCAACTCGTTGAGAGCAATGGTACTGCCCAGCATTGATTGACAGGCGAGATGTTGGGGAGGGAGGGAGGAGAGGGAGGGAGAGAAAGAGAGAGAGAGAGGAGAGAGAGAAAGAGAGAGAGAGAGAGCTCTCAGGTGCAAGCAGCTGGCAAGAGCCTCCTCTGCAATAGCACTGTGTGACTGGCAGTGCGCTGAGAACCATTGCCAGTCTTTGCAAGGCAAGAGGCAAAGCAAAGCCATCACCATTGCATGGGGGAAAAAAAAAACAGCCATGCAATCCAATTGAGCCCTCCTCCCCCATCCCCATCCCACTGAGCCCTCCTCCCCCATCCCCATCCCCATCCCCATCTCCATCACCACCACCACCACCACAATAGATAGAATAAATAGGAAAAAAATAGATAGATAGATAGATAGAAGGAAAACAGAGGAGGAAGAAGAAGAAGAAGAAGAAGAAGAAGAAGAAGAAGAAGAAGAAGAAGAAGAAGAAGAAGAAGAAGAAGAAGAAGAAGAAGAAGCAAGCCCCAGCCCCCCACAAAAAAAAACCTTTATTCATTTTATTTTTATTTTATTTCATTCGTTCATTAATCCTGTTTTTTGGTTTCTTTGCCATTGTTATTTTTTTTCTTGGAGGAAGGGTTGAGGGTGTTTTTTTATATATATATATATAATAAGAAAAATCTTTCCCACCCCCACCACCACCTTTTTCTCCTCTCCTTTCTCTCTCTCTCTCCATCCATCCATCCACCCACCCTCTCCCTCCCTTCCTCCCTTCCTTCCTTCCTTCCTTCCATCCCAATCTGAAAATAAAATCAGGATTTTTTTTTCAAATTTTTTTTTTCAAATTTATTATTATTATTAATCGTTCACCATGGACGAAGATAATCAGACAAAGAGCGAGGAGCAGCATCTAAGTTTGCAAAAGGCACTGCAGCAATGTGAACTGGTCCAAAACATGATAGACATCAGCATCTCCAACCTGGAGGGACTGAGGACCAAATGTGCCACATCCAACGACCTCGCGCAACAAGAAATCAGAACACTGGAGGTAAGAGAGAGGGGGATGTGTGTTGGCTGTGTGTGTGTTTGCTGTGTGTGTGTTTGCTGTGTGTGTGTGTGTGTGTTTGTTGTGTGTGTGTGTGTGTGTTGGCTGTGTGGATGTGTGTGTCTGTGTTTGGTGTGTGTGTCAGTGTTTGGTGTGTGTGTGTGTTTGCTGTGTGTGTGTGTATGTGTTTGATGTGTGTGTGTGTGTTTGCTGTGTGTGTGTGTGTCTGTGTTTGCTGTGTGTGTCTGTGTTTGGTGTGTGTGTCTGTGTTTGGTGTGTGTGTGTGTGGCTGTGTGTGTGTTTGCTGTGTGTGTGTGTGTGTTTGCTGTGTGTGTGTGTGTGTTTGCTGTGTGTGTGTGTTTGCTGTGTGTGTGTGTTTGCTGTGTGTGTGTGTTTGCTGTGTGTGTGTGTTTGCTGTGTGTGTGTGTGTGTGTTTGGTGTGTGTGTGTTTGGTGTGTGTGTGTGTTTGCTGTGTGTGTGTGTGTTTGCTGTGTGTGTGTGTCTGTGTTTGGTCTGTGTGTATGTGTTTGCTGTGTGTGTGTGTGTTTGGTGTGTGTGTGTGTTTGGTGTGTGTGTGTGTTTGGTGTGTGTGTGTGTTTGGTGTGTGTGTGTGTTTGGTGTGTGTGTGTGTTTGGTGTGTGTGTGTGTTTGGTGTGTGTGTGTGTTTGGTGTGTGTGTGTGTTTGGTGTGTGTGTGTGTTTGGTGTGTGTGTGTGTTTGGTGTGTGTGTGTGTTTGGTGTGTGTTGTGTGTGGTGTGTGTGTGTGTTTGTTGTGTGCGTGTGTTTGGTGTGTGGTGTGTGTTGTGTGTGTGTGTGTTTGGTGTGTGTGTGTGTTTGGTGTGTGTGTGTGTTTGGTGTGTGTGTGTGTTTGGTGTGTGTGTGTGTTTGGTGTGCTTGTAATTGTTTGGTGTGTTTGTAATTGTTTGGTGTGTGTGTGTTTGGTGTGTGTGTGTTTGGCATGTGTGTGTGTGTGTGTTTGCTGTGTGTATGTTTGGTGTGTGTATGTTTGGTGTGTTTGGTATGTGTGTGTTCGGTATGTGTGTGTTTGTTTGCTTGTTTGTTTGTTTGGTGTGTGTGTGTTTGGTATATGTATGTGTGTGTGTGTTTGATGTGTGTGTGTTTGGTGTGTGTGTGTGTGTTTGGTGCATGTGTGTGTTTGGTGTGTGTGTGTGTTTGGTGTATGTGTGCGTGTTTGGTGTGTGTGTGTGCGTGTTTGGTGTGTGTGTGTGCGCGTGTGTTTGGTGTGTGTGTGTTGTGTGTGTGTGAGTGTTGTGTGTGTGTGTGCATGTTCTGTGTGTGCGTCTTGCATGTGTGTGTGCATGTTTGGGGTGTGCGTGTTTGGGGTGTGCGTGCGTGTTTGGGGTGTGCGTGCGTGTTTGGGGTGTGCGTGCGTGTTTGGGGTGTGCGTGCGTGTTTGGGGTGTGCGTGCGTGTTTGGGGTGTGCGTGCGTGTTTGGGGTGTGCGTGCGTGTTTGGGGTGTGCGTCTGGTGCATGTGTGCGTCTGGTGCATGTGTGTGTGTGTGTATATGCGTTGGAGGGGATGGAGGGGAAACAGAAATGTTCTTTTTTTGAAAAAAATATAGGATCAAGAGAGCGAGAGCGGGAGGGGGTTGGGGTGGGGGGGTGGGGGGGAGTGTGGAAAGAAAAAAAAAATGTTTTCTCTCTTCCTTCCATCATTCTCCATCCATCCACATCCATCCACCCCCCCCCCCCCCCCCCACACCCCACACCCCACTCCCACTCCTTTCCCTCTCCATCTCCATCTCTTCCTCTCCAAAGGGAAAGTGGACGGTGGGAGATGGGATGGGATGGGATGGGATGGGGAGAGAAGAGAGAAAGATGTTTTATTTGATGTTGCATTTGCTTTCCTTAAAACAATAAGGATCGTGCCATAATAACAACACTATAATAATAATAATAATAATAATAAAACAGGGGATTGCTTTACTGGTCAGCTAGACTGTTTATGTTACATTTCTTGTATATATATATATATATCTGCGTGTGTATATATATATATACACACAGCGTGTGTTGTGTCTTATGTGATAAAACAAGTAGCCGAGCTTAAGCCTTGCTAAACTGCAGTAAGGTTGGATGAAGCTGCGCATTAAGCAGGTGGTGGGTAAGGAGCCTATCTCTACGGTGTTATTATCCTTATTTTTAATGGTCGTAACAATCATTTTTTTAAAAAAAAAATAAAAAATGATGTTTCGATTTGCTCCAGTGCGTTTTTTTTTTAAAAAAAATTGCATTTATTTCTCCTAGTGCATCAGTTTGGAGAATAACATCCCTCCATGCATTTCTCTCTCCTTCCCTCCCTCCCTCCCTCCCTCCCTCCCTCCTCCTCCTCTCCTCTCACCCCCCACTTGCTTAAGGCAATCAGCTTATCCACGTTTTATGTTTTTCCTGAGATGCTCTTTGATTTTTTTTCCACAGTAAATCCATATATCAAATGCAAGGATTATTATTATTATTATTATCATCTGATAATTCGAGATTTATGGCCAATTCAAAAGGATGCTAAAACAGCCCACTTAAACGTGAGCATCCCCCCCCCCCCTCCCCCCCCCACTCTCCAAAGTGTTGTATCAGGATCATTAATAATATTCATAGTGAAGCATTATGTGTATATGTGTGTGTGTGTGAGAGAGAGAGACACACACAGACAGAGGAGGGATGGAAGGAGAGAGAGAAAGTGAGTGAATTTGCTCCCTATATATCTATCTATTATAGATATGTGATTGTAATGTCCTATGCGAATTAACGATGCGTTTTTTCTAACGGGTCTTTCGATCCACAAACACACACACATACACACATGGTCCCTGAAAACTAACTACTGTGGTTGGCATTGATGGACTTGGAGGTGGGGGATATTTTTTTTTGAAACCTAAAGAACACAATTGGGTTCCTAACTTCAAACAGGTTTTCATATGACTGCGACAATGTGAACTGTGTGGTTTATTTCCAGGCGAAGTGAATCATTACCATCTTATCTCACAAGAGTTTTATCTGTCCCTCTGTCTCTCTGCATGTCAACTTTTTTTTTAACACACCACACACACACACACACACTGAAATGGGGCAGGAATTAAATTCTCAGATCATTGCTCTTGCGGGTGTTTTGAGTGTGATTGTGTGTGTGTTAAAGAAAAAAAAATTCCCCATCAGTTTCAGTTCCACGGAAAGTTTGTATCAGTGTATCTTGATGTCTTGATTATCTTTTTACCAGGTAAGAAATGAACACGAGAGACTTGTTATAATTATATTTACACGCACACAGTTACTTTAGTCGTGTTAATTTACTGCGTGAGTGGAAATACATTTGTTTTTTTTAAATAAAAAGGGGCTTACGGTAATCTAGTTTGATGTAGTCAGATTTTTTTTAAAGAATAAGAAGAATGATTGTCATTATTGGGTAAGGTGGGTGAGTTTGTGTGTCAGTGTAGTGCTCTGGATCACAGATTGCCTAAGGAATGCACCAGTGTTGAACATAATAATATCTTTATAATAATGCTATAATATTTATTATGTTAATCATCTTTTCCACTGTGTAAGAATGAAGTGCACAGAGAGAGGAATCCTTGGTCCCATAGTCTTGACGGATCAACCGTGATATTGCATTTATTTCTACAGTGGAGTGGGAAAGAAGTACATTGACAATTCTCTAGCTGGCACAAGTTTCTTCCCCCCCACCCCCCCACCCCAAGCCCCCAAGACTTGCACAGGTTTGAGTGATGTGTGAACAACTCTAACATGTGTCAGCTGGCGACCTCTACTGTCAGGGCTGTGGTGGAGTGGCGGGGCGAAAGGGTTATTTCCACCAGTCCCACATCCCAGGACATCCTAAGTCCACATTGCATGTGAAAACGCAACGCACTAAGTTTTAGTTTTAATTTTTAACAAACAACACTGCTGTGCGCAAATTGGCTGTCCCGTTTCGCCCACAAAACACACAGTCAATTCACTTTGTCGTATATTCTGTCAAGCGCTTTTAGGCATCTCAACGACGTGATAAGGCGCGATATCAAATGAAGAATACTTATTATTATTAATAATAAGCAATGCCTTTGGTTTCATGGCCTTCACGTTTTAACGTCCTCCTGGATGGATCACTGAGACACTAAAGGTTGCAAATAATCATAACAACAATAATCCTTGCATTTGATACAGCGCCTTTCACGTCTTCTAGATGTCTCAAAGCGCTTCACAGAATATACTGTAAAGTGAATTGACTGTATATTTCGCCCACAAATATACAGTCAATTCACTTTACAGTATATCCTGTGAAGTGCTTTAAGATGTCTTGAAGATGTAATACGCGCTATATTAAATGCAAGGATCATTATTATGTGTGTTACAGCACGGAACCAAACCAATCTTGTAAAGCACTCTCAACAATGTGTTAAGGTGCTTTACCAAATGCAAGAACTATTATTATCTTGTAATAGTAATAATAATCCTTGCAGTTGATATAGTTCCTTATCATGTCGTTGAGACGTTTCAAAGCGCTTCACAGAATATTCTGTAAAGTGGACGAAACTCGGCAGCTTTTTATTTTACTTTTACTTCTACTTTTTATTGTGGTGTATGACCAATACATCGTTCGCTACCGACTGCTAACATGTGACAGGATCAGAACTCCCAAGTGTGCCAAGGTATTATGCACCAAACAGCAAAATACCGTACAGTATTCAAGAACTTTTGCTCTTCATAACAGTCACCCCCACCACCCGCCCTAAGGAATTAATAGAGGAATTAATTTTGGGGTAATAATGGTTGCATTTGAGGCTGCCTCGCACCCCCTTGAATCCTTCTCAAGGATACTGAGAGTTAAGTACAGTATTCATTGTGTTAAGCAGCCTTTATTAATATTAAGCCTGGCTCAGTAGGTAGCAGTCTCGCCTCTGAATCAAAGGTGATGGGTTCAAAGACCCATGTCAGGACTTGGAATCACATAGTCTAAGCTGACGCTCCAATGCAGTGGATGAGGATTACGCT